CGGATTTCCTGTATGGTTTTATTTTAGCCGTGTCTAGAAATGAGAGAGATAATAAGTTACATTTAACATTTACACGAATTTCTTTCTCTTCAGCTGGTATGTACCATTTAAGTATGTAATGCACACTGATTGATGATGACTTGCCCATACAAAACAAAGACGAATCAAAAAATATTCCGAAGGTCTACTAAGTAGTAGGCAAATAAATAATTGCCCAGGTATTTCATAGCTTTACATAAAATCATTCCTTCTCAGCAATTCTGGTTCCGTCCCCAACATTCCAACCGAGTCCTGCTTCGGTGCGATCTGCTGCGTCCCAAACATTTGACAGGGTCTGGCACCCAAGCAACCTCTTTAAACCCAAACCCTACCCACTCATTACGTAATCCTAAAATCCTACCGTCGTTTCAAATAAGGTGTGACAATGTGTTCTCAAAGACTCCTATTCGAGGAACCTACAACATCCAAGAACACCTTCAGCTTTATCGACTGGTTCAAAAAGTGTAGGACGAGACAAAATATGTAAAACCCTGCCCAGTGGAAACTTACATTGAAAAAACAGTTTTGCCATCCACTGTAGATCGACAAACAGCAGCTGACTTCCACTCGATACTTAGAGAGCAGACTGACGTGGAAATCCCACACAAGACTTACGAGACATCAACTTAACAGAAGACTTGGACAAATACAAGGACTCTACCCTCATAACTCAACTAATTTTATAGAATACATTCTGCGACCACTTTGGACATACGGAGGGCCATCCAATATCCAGCGCATCCATTCTTTCCCATCGAAAGTCCTCAGACAAATCGTCAAACTTCCTTCCTAAGTCACTGAAAGAATGGGGACGATGGAAAATTCATTTTAAGGAAACAGACAATCTTCTTGTAAGTTGATGGTGTAATATCAAATATGTCTTCAAAAACCATGAGCCCAAAACCGCATCTTTCAAACGAAAGTGAATTCAATTTGAACAGAGGATATAGCAGCTTATAGCATGTCAGATAGCCAAGAAGCATAGGGGCACAGACGGAAGAGGTCTTAATACATCAGATGAAGCAGGAGGGAACTTAGAATCATAAGGTTTCTTGGCAGAACACCACAAAACAACAGACGACAACATTCAAATCAAGTGACACCCATGCCCATCCTCTATAAACTTAAACAATTCCTTCCCACTGTTTATTACCTTACATTGAAATCTTATTTAACTGACCCCTGCTCTAGAATGAGGTTGGCAACTAGTACTCAGCTGTTAGACCTTCTCAGTCCCATTCTGTATACCATTTATACTGCTGACTTTTCTATACATCCCAACACCATCATTACCTCGTGGGCGAATGATACAGACTTTTTGTCTTCTAACCTAAATCCTTTCCAAGGAACCTCCAACTGTATCTCGACAAAAAGGAGCTATTGACTTCCATATACTATACTTAGAAAGCAGACTGACGTGGAAACCACACACAAGACTTTTTCGAGACTTGAACAACAACTACGAAGACTTTTAGGATCGAAACGTGTAACTCAACTAGCTCTATATAAGACATTACTGCGACCACTTGGGACATACGGAGTGGAACTGTGGGGTTCCGCCAAGCCGTCCAATATCCAGCGCATCCAATCTTTCCAACCAAAACCATCTTCAGATCAATTGTCAAAACCTCAATATTCTTTGTGTCGACGTGCTTACCGACCCCGCTCCCATAGGTTCCACACCGATCTCTAAGCAGTTTCTAACCCAACTGCCCAAGACATCTCCATACTTTCCCTTCCTGAAAAACCGCCAAATTGTGTGGCAATGGTCTCCAAATCGAGACGACCTCGCCTCTTAACCCGTCTTTTGAATACCGTTGGCTAGTTTATCTTAACATATGCCCTCAAGCTACAGTGTTGTACCCGATGGAAAAATAACCACGTACGAATATATTTGTACATGTATTGATGTGTACAGGTTATAAATGAATTATTAACAAAAACAATTGCCCTCTGTACATCAACCGCAAGGAGCTATTTACTACTGACTTACACTGAAGCCAGATACTTAGGACTACACGTAGACAACAGACTGGCTTGGAATCCCTCTACTTACGGCACTTTGACAACTACGAAGACTTTTAGGACCGAAATATGTTTTTACCGCAAAAACTCAACTTACTCTTAAATGATATTTTGAAGCTTATATGGTATTCGTGCGTAGTGTTAAAATCCGATAAAATGTTTATTTAATTTTAATTAACGGCACACGTTTTGCATGTGTTCCTATGGAGACCTTGAGAAATCTTCTCGGATATGCGGAAGAATGTTGAAGGAATGTAGGGTGTTCGATAATGAGGATAGATATAGGGATTTTTTTTTTAATTTTTATTTCACCATGCACCGTGCACTTTACGGCATTACATGAAATTACATGTCTCATTTTAAATTTATGTTTAGATAAAACACATTGCAGCATGCGAGGCCTATAGGCGAGACGCATGCAAATTCCAGGCTCGAAGCTTGCTATTGGGTTGGATTCGTAGTGGTATGTACTGAGACTCCTGGAGAGTAGTATAGAGTGCTTACTCTCTAAGAGATGGTTAGTGTGGTGGCCACCGGCATTTACAACGGTACCCACTGGGCGTCACCATCGGTTCTGGAATGATATCGCCCTCCACTATGTAGCCAATAAGAGTAGCGCCATTTCGTGTATAAGCAGAGGCACTGCCCCATTGGCTTGAGACTTGTCTACTCGAAGAACTCTCGTCAACGCCGTCAGTCGCGTCTACTCGACGAGCTCTCGCCAATCACTAATGAAGCACCGACAACGACAACAAGGGCACTTGCCTTCTGAACAGAGCCAATTTGGCTACTGGCCAACTGCTGCACACGGCTACCTGCTGCACCAGAGTCCCTTCAACCGCTACAGAGTCAACCGACTCACGGCCCAGGACCTCAGCCAACGGTTCTCTCAGTCACGGACCACAACCAACGGAACACATACACGGTCCCGGACTCGATTCATCGTCTCAACTACTAAACAACACCGGCTCTTCTCAGAGCCACCAAAAAAACCTAGTAACTAAAGTTAGTATTCCAGTTAAATAAAAAACCGGGGCCGACCCGCCTGTCAAAAGTACCTTTGCTAAGGTGCGCCTCTACTCGGGGTTTCGATAGAGCTGCCTTCTCTATCGAACAGGAGTAGCTTCGGCTGAGACCTGGTCGGGCGATATGCCAACCCAGCATTGCTGAAGGGCCATGCGGGAAGAGCTTTTTAAAAGCTCTACATAAAAACCTACTTTCAAAAACACCGGCACCCTGAGGGTTTATATGACCATCATAATGGCATGGACCTAGGCGCGGTATTAAGATCAAGACTCCAAGTAAGACAGGAAATGCCCTGTCAGGAGTCCAACCAGAATCCTAGTTCTGTTGCGGTAATTCCTTTTAAAGTTTTGCTGATGGCCCTTTTTACGAAGAAAGTTGGAGTGGAATGTCGAGTCTGCAACTATTGGCATTCTTTTTCAAGGGAGAACAAGAGAAAATGGTCGGCTTGTGATTAATGGCAATTTTGGCTTCCAACCGTCTCGAGATCCAGTCTATTTTTTGTTCATTGCTTATCTGGTTTTGGCGTAACGTTCCGTTTTGTATGCGATCAGAACGCCTAGCAACTCGTCCATTAGTCGACACGACCCACTGAGCCGCGAATCCATTTCAAATTTGACGGCCACTTTTCTGTGCAATCCCCTGCTGATGAACTGAACATTTGATATGAGACGTACAATTTCTAATATTTGCACAGCTGCTTTAATTTGGATTTAGGACAATTAAAACACTTTCTATCCCCTTTCGTGATGGTTTTGTTAAAAACACGACGTTTCTTTTTCACTCGGCTCGGCTGCTGAACGAATATAATGATGATTATTATCAATAATACATCAGGCATCGGTAAAACCCGTTACACTCGTGACCTTATCTTTACAAGTGGTACGAAAATAATCAATTTCGAAGAGAAAAAAAATTGCCCTTTGATTATAAAGCATTTCGCCATCGTGAGAAATAAAATTCAAATAATCTCATTATTTCAATGATCATTATCATTAAACGTGGCAATATTCCTATGCTTTAATATACAGCAGAATACTTAAAAAAATTTGATTTATTTTCTTCCCCACAACTGAAACTACAAGGTAGATTTATAAACTTTATAGTTATAAATAACTTGGATCTAAAAGTCAAATAAACTTGAAATTAAAAAGTTTTACTGTCGATTTTGAAGTTTTGACGTGTCAAATTTGATTTTTCCTTTCATCTAGCGTTATTTTTTAATCTTCTGTTGTATTGTTTTTTTTTTTTTAACTTTATTGCCAAGAGGAACTAAATGAGCGCAAAATTGGAGGCAATTAGAAAGTCGTTCTTGTTTTATTTTATGTCAATAGATTATTTTTAGTAAGCGTTATCTAAGGGGGCTTTTTTTGACGTTTGATTTTTTTAAATGTAAAAATGCGTTGAATTTCGTAATGTAAAGCAGGGTTAAAAATGAGAGCTGAAATTAAACAAAATTATGTTAATTGCAATTGATTAAAATAATTTTTCATAGAACTAAAACATGTGAAAGAAACTCAAATTTTAATGGTGATTGAATAAATCAATTGAGCCACTTTTTGTAAATGATGGTTCTTCTCACAAAATTGTTGTTAGCATCCGGATTGCGAGCATTTAATGAGGATCATCAGGTTGGTGAATTGCAAACAAGCCTCTCCTGCAATTTGAGAGACGTGTTTGTAATTCTTCAACCTGATGATTTGTATTTAATGCTCGAAAACCGGTTGCTAACAACAAATTTGTGAGTAGTACCATTCTTTACAAAAAGTGAATAGACGTAGCCCACAGCAATTATTTCTATCATTTGAGCCATATCAACAAACGCGAGTTTCAAGGTGGGAAAGAGCGAAACGATTCGGACAAAAAAGAGAAGACGATAAATGTCCGAAATTTAGACAAATTCTTCCGTTTACCTTAACATGGGTGGTGGCGTCTAGGGCGGGACCGGCGTCCGGATCGAAACTTTCACGGAAGACTGGCTCGGTCTCGGTCAGTACGAGGGAGAAGAGAAGTGGCGCGACTAGCAGAAAACTGAAGAAGGCCATCTCACCTTCACGGCTCAGCCTCGGCCGACTCACTGAACACTACGCCAGCCTTCTGGTTGTCATTCTCGTTTTAAAAAGTATTTACGTCAGAATTAAAAGGAGAGGGAAGGAGGACGATAGAAGGAGAAACGACAAACTCACAAATGCAGTCGGCCCGACGCCGATAACGCACCTAATCTTCTCGACCATTTTCCACCAGGGCTTTACAACGACTTAATTTCGACAGAATTTTATTTACCACTCATTACATACGACGCGCTAAACGGAAAATCGTGATAGGCGTGAAGGCCGTTGACCCGTTAAGATAACATTTCCAATTTGATTAAGTCTGAGATGTTGATCCTGAGCACCTCCTGGCATTGTTTAAAAAACCATCTTATAGTCCTAAATCTAAAGAAGTTAATAATAATAATATAGAATATAACATATACAATGACAGGCAAAACTTCCACCCAATCGATTTTTTTTCTCTATAAAAGAAAATTCTGCCCTTAATTTGTCTCATTGTTTTTACCAATAAACATTTGATTATGCTATGTTTTAAATTGGTAATATCAATTAGAGGTAAACACACTTAATCCTTAATCTAAAAAAAAGTATAAAGGATTTTTCAATATTTACTTTTTACGGAATTTAAAACGTTTATTAAGTCTCATTTGAATTCTAAAGTAATAAACTGTTTAGTTTTCACCTTTGTTTTCTTAATTTCGATATTTAAACTTAAAAATACCGCTTAGTGCTGAGGGTGTTGCGTGTGGTGTGGCACTTATTGATGATGGACGTTCCATCAGGCATGCGGCTATTGCCATTGGAGTTCTCTACGAAACTCTGCGAGGCGCCGTTAGACGTTTTCGAGAAACTGGGTCCGACCAAAGAAGGCCCCGTTCTGGACGCCCTAGGGTAACAGAACCACAGGATGACAGTTTTTTTGATTTTGAGAATTTTGCGAAACCGGCACCTTTCTGTTATTCAAGGGATTCATCAGCCCCGGGAAGTTCGAGGAGTCCAAATTTCTGAACGCTCTGCTCGAAGAAGATTAAATCAGTATGGACTGATGGCTTTTCGCCCTGTAAGACGACCAGAAGTGATCAGAACACACAGAGTTGCACGGCTCGCATTTGTTCGAGAATACACCCATTGGTCTTTAGACGAGTGGTCTGCTGTACTTTTTTACAGATGAGTGTAGATTTGCTCTACGATCTCCAGATGAGCGTGAAAGAGTGTGGAGAAGGCGAAATGAAAGGTACGAAACCTGTAATTTTTCCCAAAGCCAACCTTTTCAACGTAGATCATTGATGGTCTGGACGGGAATTTCAATAGAGAGTCGCACAGAGTTGGTTGTTGTTTGTGGAGGATCTTTGACGGCCACTCGCTATGTGGATGAAATTTTGGAACATCCTGTGTTGCCTATCATCGATTAAATCAGCGACAATCCTATTCTAAGCATGAACCCGTCCACATGTCGCTCGCATAGTAAAAATGTACCTTCAACAACGTAACATCAGGGGCTTATCCTGGCCAGCCCGCTCTCCAGACTTGAACCCCATCGAACATTTATGGGATAACATCATAAGACGAATAAGAGCACGTCCATCACTTCCTGATACACTCCACTATCTTGGAAGTACTCTTCGTGAAGAATGGGCTAACCTCCAGCAAAGAGACATTTCCAGACTGGTAGAAAGTATGCCGAGGCGTCTTCGAGATATAATTAAGGCAAGAGGAGGAAATACGAGAAAATGAAGCGTTAATTAAAAATCTAAAACTAATTTTATCTGTCCCTCTTTTTTTTCATTATCCTTAGCAATTTACCTTTTTTTGCTGTTTTAGACAGACTCAATTATTAAACGTTAAAAAACGTGAAACTTTGATTAATATATAAAAATATATACAAATCAAGTTATATTACAAGTGGGTGGAATTTTTTGCCTGTACATACAACGAAGAAACAAGAAAAAAAGCAAAATGAACACAAACAATATACTAATAACAATAATCATCATAAACCTGAAGAAACCAAAATAACCATTCGTTTTCGAGAAAAATGGGTGTCGCTTTGAAAGGTAGACACCCATTTTTCTCGAAAACGAATGGTTATTTTGGTTTCTTCAGGTTTATGATGATTATACAAGACCCCTAAAGTCAGTTTTGACAACAAAAAAATATCTAATCAAAATATCTTGTAGAGCAGACTGGAAGAAAGGGATCCCAGTTAATGCCGACCATATCCTGTTGTTCTGATAGCTCCAAAACGTTATCGTATCCCTAACCGAACGTTAGGAATCCCTAACCATTCCTAATTATGGGTCAAGAGATGGCACTTATGGAAATAAACCAAGGTCTAGACTTGGACAATATGCCACCGTTGTTCAAGAGGAAGCTACGGCTATTGAACACTGTGCCTGAGAGATAAAAAGGATTATCAATAGAAGAATAGTCATCTACTTGGACAGGCCGGCGGCACTGAAGGCAGTTGCGGTCCAGAGCCATTTGGAGCTGCATTAGAGCCGTGTCACTCATTGAGGAAAATAACAAAATTACCCTTGTCTGAGTTACGGCACAAAGGACAAAGGGACAACGGAGAGGCCGATAAATTGGCCGCGGAAATTTCAGTGAGGACACCTATCAGCCTTGAAACCTTTTGTGGCTTACCAAACTCCCAAAAACCCGGATGTTTTAAACAATGAATTAATCCTTAGTCCTCCGCTCAAGCCCGGGATAGAGGCACGCGAAAAGTTTATCAAAGGACCATCGCAGAAACTAACGTTGCTAGGACTAGAATAATAGTTGGACTGCTAACTGGACACTGCAAACTCCGAAGGCATATGTATAGACTCAGGGTGGCAGAAATAATCCTTTGCAGATATTGCCGAGAAGAAAAAGAAACCGGAACACGTCCTCTGTTGGTGCGAGGGCATATATAGGCTGAGATTCCTAATCGTAGGAGAGGAAAAGCCAGCGACTGAAGGATACACACGGGAACCCTTGTTTGGGGTCTGGTAAAAAGCCTTAATCTTAACGAGGAGCTCTAGATAAAAAAAAATGGTGATGCACAACAGACCAATACTGGTAGCGGTGCATAGGTTGTAAAGAGGCCGGCTCCTATATAATCTAATATAATGGTTATAAAATATAACTCCATCACTCTCTATACACTTTTCCCAACGAGATGGCAATTTCTCTCTACCCTCTGAATAGAATTTTGAGTCTTTGTTGTTAACAAATCCTGTAAACGCATTTTCTAATGCTTTTGATCAATAATTCTTTTACGTTGTCTAGGTATGTGAAAAAATGATAGTCGGTAGGCGAGAGGTCTGGAGAATAGGGAGAGTGAAGCAGAAACTTCATAACGAAGATCAGTTTTCGTGTTGTCACATGTGAGACATGGAACCGAGCATCATCGTGTAACAGAATCGGCCTTTTCCGATTGACCAAAGATGGCTTCAATAATGCCAATTTCTGATGCATTGCTTCAATGTGAGAGCAATACATTTCGGGATTGTTTCGCCAGAATTCAAGTAGCTGCTTGTTCTGAAGCAAGAAGAAGAGTCAGCCCAAATGAAGCACACCAAAGAGTCACTATAACCTTTTTTTTATGAGTTGGGCTTTGGAAAATGTGGTGCTGGTTCTCCTTTGTCGAGCCAATGTCCAGAACGTCTGCTGTTAACGTAGAGAATTCTCTTTTCATCCCAAGTAACAATTCTTCTTTCGTCAAAGAAATGTTGCGCAAACTTCATACCGATGATTTTTTTGGCGGTCGTTTAATGCATGAGGAACCCAACTCTCGTGCTTTTTCACCTTTCCAATTGCCTTAAGGTCGTCATCGACCGCCGATTTGCTAATTGAAAGATTCTCTGCAAGTTCTCGAACGGTTGCTCTGGGATTTTCCTCGACCAAAGCTTACAGAACATAATCTTCTTGGGAGCATCTTTGTCTTCAAGGAGAACGTGTTTGACCCGTAAAACGAAATTACGCGAAAATAACGCATTGACATCTTCGTAAAGACTGAATTATTCCCAAATAACGTAAACAAACATTTTGGATTGGAAGAGGATTAAAAAGTGTTGACATTCGTACAAAAGAATAATCCATCAAATGTAAACAGTTTATTTTATACAGTAAAAAGGTACTAGGGTATGTATCGTATCGCCTGTCACTTTTCTCCAATGGGCAAAAGAGTATTGCGCCGATAAAACTCGTATTGGACGATGAGAAATCGCCTGCATGAATCACCTATCGCATCGCTCCAGTAGGCACCGCGAGTAACCTTGAGATACTCGAACGAATAAACAAAAATCGAATTTATAATGAAACATTCGTTGAATGTTTATTATCAGATAGATAAAGTATGTATACAATAAATTAAATAAAACAGATGAAGGGTTAAGGTGATAAAATAAACCCATTTATTTATTGCAAATGACTAATCCGATTAACTCGCAAAAATTTTAATTGTAGGGAATAAAAACTATATCTTAAAGAATATCGGTGTATTTGTATTTGAGTCTTGTGGTGTGACTTTTGTGTATTGTCACTAAGGCCTTGGGCTAGTTTGCTTTTTAGGTTGAGAAACGGCCATTCGGGAATATAATGAACAAAGCCAAACTTTTTAATGGCTTTTGTCTGTTGGTTGTGCAAATTTACAACGTTTTTCCATCACATTAAAAATGACGAATGACCTCTAAAGAACTTACTCTCATGCGGTTGACAGAAATTGAAAGCAGTTTACCAAACAGCTTTGATTTTGATTTTGGAATAGTCTTAAACACTTCAAATAAATAAACGCACAGACATGTGCTTTGGCAGTATATATCAAAGACAGCAATCCTGCGTATACCAATAACCATAAATTGGACTCTCACTGCACCCTCAACCAGATTGAAATGCTTGCAATTAGCCTTGCTCTTAGAGTAGCAGAAATGACAACGAAAAAGTACAGAAAAGCACTAACATGGACGGATATCGAGGTTTCCTTATCTATTACTAAATAATGAAAACTACAATTAGCTCAAGAAATAAGGACAAATCTACTAAGCGTTTTTTTCATTATTTTATTTGTAGCCTATACATATTAGTACATATTACAAATACATTTGTGCCTATACATATTATGATCACAAAACATTTTTTCACCCGGTAACATCACTGTACCCTGAGAACATGCTATAAGAAACCAATCAATGCTGGCACCTAGTGTGAGGGATTGAGGGATAAGGAGATCTCTAAAACATCATCGATTAAGGCGATATGCGGGTTCTCGGAAAAGGAATCTGTAGACAGGGCTTGAGTAGGGGATCGAGAGGTTAGTGTGAAACTTAAGGAATAAGGAACGGATCTTGCTAAACGGGCTGTCCACGAGGGGAAGTTTCTTTCTAGAGATGTACAAAGAAATTCTTCTCTACAGTCCGTTCAAGTCTTCAAACTGATCTTCAAACAACGTCGAAGATAACGATGGACCTATCCAACCATGGAAAACACAAAGAATACTTATGAGTCCTATGAACGAAGACAACTCATGTAACGAAAATGTTTAGCAGTCTGGGAACACCTCGGGGAAGTTGGATTATAATCAAACAACAGAATCTGTAACCAAAGTTATAATCTTATTGGCCGGCCTCCAATCTGAAGAGCAAGGCAAAATTTAGTCCCATTCTCCAGAGCTGTAATAATGAGAGGGGAAAAACACAGTCGCATTTTATAAGGAGAATTTATGATTTAGAGGATGAGATCATTGTGGACGAGATGAAGGTCAGTTCCCAAACGAGTAATGCCTAAGCAATAGGCAAAAGGACCAAAATGTTTTTCAAACTGTTAAGCCTTGGAAAAGCCGTAGAGGAAATGCAACTCACACCTAACTTCGTTCTATATAACGCACTATGGAAATAATCGAACACCATCCTCTAGACATGGTTCAAGCCTTTGACAGCGTGTGCCAACATACAAATATGTGTCCTTCCAAATACTCTCTACTTATCTATCAGAGTGGTTCTTTCGGTGCGACAAGGAACAGATTACTCCAACTACTGTGGGATCTCTCCTTGCACATTTGCCCATTATACAGCAGTTCCCTCTGACTCCGATCCTGCTGTTTTTTCGGAAGATCTGCAGAGACATATCACAAGTAAAGCAGATTGATGTAGACAATAGAAATTTAAGATAAATTAAAGCAGGTACGAAATTTCCTCTCACTACAGCAATGCTCCTACCCCCAAATCTGCTGGCGTTACCTTGGGGTCGACCTAGACTCGCGCATAGCATAGAATCAGCAAAGGCGAAATGACAAGACCTAAATAGACGCAACACTACAAGCATGTAGTACGACAATTCAAGCTATTGACGACAACAAACTTACAGACTACATATTGCTATTACAGACTATTTGGACGTGGGGGAACCGCTAATCCTCCAATATCCCATCCCTACAATTCTATAAAGCTTATCACGCGGAAATGGCCCCGCGACCTCCTTTCTGATTACTATCAACTATCAACGGGTGAAGTGCAATGGATTAAACGTTAAAGGTTAAAAGAAGTCGCCCTCTTTATGGCGGCCTGCACCGCGACTGATGTTGGTTGATTGTTCAATCTCCATTATTATGTAGAGTAATCGGCTTTTTATCAGACCCCAAAGCTTTGTCAAAGATTCTCGTGAATATCCTTCGGGTCTGAGCTTTTCCTCTCCCAAGTGTCCCCTCAGCCTGCATAGGCCTTCTCACAAACAGACGATATGTTACGCTGTTTCTTCTTCTTCCTAGCTATATCAGCCTATATATGACTCCGGGTTTCTGCAGTCCTGTCATTCTAGTTCTAACGTAGCCCAGGTTTAATTGTTCTGCCGTTAGTTTCTAGTCCATTAACGAACTTTTTCGCATGTCTCTTTATCTTGGAATGCACCCTCATTGAACGGTGGACTTATTCATAACCCATTGTCTGATGGATCTACATGTTTGACAATTTGGTACTGCAAAAGAGTTCAGGGCCGATAGGTGTCACATTGGCCAATATATCGTCCTCCTCTACCTTCTATGTCCTGGTACCAAGATAAGAGAAATTTTTTTGAAGTCTCCAATGTCTGACAGAGCCTTGATTCATTCACAAACGGCTCTGGGCTTTACTACCGAGAGTTGCCTTTAGTACGAGTAGATAGCAATTCTTTTGTTGAAAATACGCCTTCTTGGCACAGTGTTCAAGAGCCATAGTATGAAAGGTCGGTTTATTTCCCATACACGGTCTTAGAGCCATCTACATACATCCCTAGAACGTTGTCTGAGTTGCTCCCTAAGCTTTAATTTCCCAAGTGCATTGAGATAATAAAATTGATTAATTGCTCCCCTCAACGCAAAAAAAAATGTATAGCGTGTATACTTCAGGATATAAGCTACGTCCTAATTATTCATAAAGACATTTAGTTGAAATTAGGTCGCTAGATGCATATCCTGTAGGAACACTAAATCGTATTCTTTCTTCTTTGTTGTTGCTGAGTATCAATAAATATTAGGAGATATTTGTATTTTATTTTTTTGAAACTACTACCAGCTTGTTATTGTTTTTTTTCGTTTCGACACCTCACCACGTGTCCTCTTCAGCTCAAAAGCCTTATATAAACGTAACAGTGTATTAACATCATTTATCCTTGAAAATCAGCGTCATAAATATTATTTTTCAGTTTGAATTGAAGCTTTAATTTTTTTTTTCATCCTGTTTACCCTTTACCTACTGTCACAAAACTGTTCCATTTTTATAATAATAAAGAAAACGTAAAAAAACGCTGTAAATTCACTACTTTCGTGGTCCGCTTGACCAATTAATACATGACAATTAATTGAGGTTTTCATCTCAACTAAAAACCTTAATTAAACGCTGTAAAGTTCAATAAAAAATAAAACCAATCCAAAACAATTAATAAATGTTATATTGACTGTTCGCCATGTATGAAATAGAAATTTGTGACGGTTCTTTTGTCTGAATCGTTCACTCGTTCATTCAGGAACGACATTTTAATCCTCAATCCTTATTCAAAAGTTTGAAAATTGAAACCTCCCTCGGACGCCAAGATCCTAATTTTCAAAATCCGCAACAAACGAGTATGTTGTTTTTAACAATATAATTTATAATTATGTTTAATTTTTATCGTATAATAGAACGTTACTATACACAGGGCTTGTTAATAATGTAATTTATAAGCTAGTGTTGTTAGTTGTGAAGATAGTAAACAATTGCAATTTTAGGCAATTCCTTGATTTCAATTGAAGGTGAAGCTATGACAATCAAATTGCTTATTTCTACTCATATTTTCAATATAGTAATAATCCCTGAATATTTTTTATCTCCCTATTATTCTGATTGATATTTATTAAAAGGGAATTAGATGTTACAGAGTTGCATTAAGTTCTGTGATGTGACAAACTTAAAGGTTGATCATCTCTTATCTCCCGGTCAGCCAATTACTGACATATACTAGATATGTACGGACATATACTGTATATATCCAGTATGGATATATATACTGGACATTTCATTGCTTCATTTTCATACAAAGACCAGGATTATCTGAGACGATGAGAATGCTTTTTTCGAGACTTCTTTCCAGCCCTCTGACACTAAAAATGCGTTAAAAAACATGATTAAAAGAAAGTGGCAGCATCGGTGGGATGCCAGAGAAGCTCTCAAGTATCAAGACCATTGTCGTCAGATGGCCCTCGGAGTATCTGAGTCGTAGAAGAAGGGTCATCCTCACCAGATTAAGAATAGGTTATGCGAGGTTGACTGATGGGCACTTACTTTTAAAATAGGCATGGAGAGAAAGGTTGTCCGATGCCTCACTTGATTGAAGGGTGCTAGTTTTTGGCTCTATATAGGGACTGTGTAGGATTGCCAACCAATATGAGAATTGTGCTAAAGCACGGCTGCGAGTATTTGGAGCCCCTGTACCGATTTTTAAAGAAAACAGGACTGTTAATTATAATACTTTATATATTTTTTGTTTCTTTATGTATATTGAGACTGAAGGTATTTATTAGGGTGAATATATAGTGTGAGATGGACGATGGAGGAATATTGTCCCATTGAACCTCAATTAGATTAGTTACGTAAAATGTGTAAGGTGATGGAGGAATATAATGTACGACCCTGACTGAATGGTATGTAGATCGGAAAGAATGTATTTAAGTTGGAATGCGAGGGTGAATAGGTTTGGATCTGGAAATTGATTGTGTTTGGGACTGATATGACCTAGCTGTTGATATCAGAGCCTGACCTCGGTGGCTAGATGGATAAGACCGAGGTCTGACCCCGGACTGCCAACACCCAAGGTGGGTGATTCTCGAGGCTTGACAGTGATTTATTGAACACAACACCAATATGACACCACAAGAATAGTAACTCCAATGTATAGGCTTGATGAGTGTAGGTTATATAAATACATTACAGTTTGTGGTCCGATTCAACAATTAACATTTTTCAATTAATTAATATTTATGAAAGGTATTGGTCGAGATAAAAAGTCAGTGCCACGAGCGGGATGGCAAAAAGGAGGGAAAATTCGAGAGGTGAGGTAGAGATGGGAAGAACACCTGAAAACAATTTGATAATTCTCCTTTAAAATCGCAATCCTGAAAAGTTGTTACTTAAACTAGTTGTCCCCTGGCAATGGCAGTGTTTTCTCTCTTTAAAAAATATGATTATATAAATTATGTATAACAAGGAGTTATTTAATTTTTCTGATCAATTATTGGGTTTCTATATAGGTTACAGCCAATGATATTGATGAAGTCATGAAATGCACCTGTGGAGGTACGAGAGATGAATTGAAGCATGGAGAAAGACGTCTGACGACTTCTGACTATGACAGACCAGCAACAGAACTGGCCAAATTCCTCTTGGGGAAAGTACTCGTGCGGAGGAAGGAGGGCGGAGAAGAAATGAAAGGCATTATAGTTGAGACAGAGGCTTACATCGGCGGTCTTGACAAAGCTTCACATTCTTACAAAGGGAAGAAAACAAAACGCAATGCTCCTATGTTTATGAAGCCGGGCACTGCCTATGTTTACATTACATACGGCATGTATCACTGTTTCAACATATCTAGTCAGGGTAATTGTAAAATTCAGGATAAATCAGTTTAAAAGACAGTATATGGTTGTTTTTACCTGCTTGTATTACTCTTTTATTAATATTGTTTGTAATTAATATTTCTATATGAGAGGTCTGACCCCTGACACCCTTGGGCAGTTGGATGTTAAGCCCTCATGTATGACAGGAATTGCTTTATTTTACTTTACTTAATAATGCAAAAGTACATGTATCCTGATTAGTAAAGTCACTAAATATATATTATAAAATAATGGCTATCCAGAACGTGATAATTCCAGCCTTTAGGAAAGTAGTTTTTAACCTAGAACACTCTCACTCATTTTTATTTAAATACCATTCACTCAAATAGGTTGAAGTACTCGATATTCTATTCTAAACAACATACATTAACTAGCCTAATTGAGAGTCGAGGAGGGTACTCAATATTCTGCCATCGACACTCTTACATTACACATTCACGCATATAAACACATTCTCACAAAACAGTTAACACATACATCTATCACCAAACATTTGATATACCCAATAATAACATTAACTACAATAATGGCAACTAGTTCTCAGAGGTCAGACAGATATATGCCCGCGTCTCACAAGGGAGCATTCTTGGTAGCATCCTTTTATATCATTTATACTGCTGACCTACCTACACACCCAAATATCATCACGACCTACACGGATGCTACTGCAGTTTTGACCTCCAACTCAAATCCTATCCAAGCTACCTCCAACATCTAAGAACACCTTGAGCTTATCAAAAAATGGTGCAAAAAGTGGAGGATAAGACAGAACGAAGAAAAATATACTCAGGTGTTCACATTGAAAAAAACAGTCTTCCCTGCATTGTACATCAACACCAAGGAGATACCAACTTCCACTCAAGTCAAATACTTAGGACTATACCTAGACAGCAACTGACAGATCCCCTCACAAGACTTAAGAGACAACTACTTAACACAAGACTTGGACAACTACAAAGACTTATAGTTTCAATATTAAACTAACCTCATACAACACTTAACTGCAACCACTTTGAACATAGAGTGGGATTGCAGAGTTCCACAAGGCCATCCAATATCCCACTAATCAAAAGTCCTCAGACAAATCGTCAAAGATCAGTTTTGTCTACAAACTTATCCGTTCCTGATTATAAATGTTCCACACCAACTTCTCGATCCATCCCAACCCTACTACCTGAGTGCTCTGTACACATTCTCATTTGTACACATTCTCATTCCGAGAACCACGATGGCTTCGAGACCTCCCTGACTGAGTGCTGTCTAGTTTCTCATGCCTCTAGGTGCAGCGCTGGCATTATTGTTTGTGCTGACACCATGTGAAAAAACGTTTGTGATGTTCTAATAGGCTACAAATAAAATAATTTTAAAAAAATACAATTAATAAGCATATATTTACAAAAACATCCCAATATCATTAAAAATTGCAACAGGGAACCCCAAGATTCGCTTTCTACTCTAGCACATTTTTCATAATGGGTAGCATTCCTCCACATTCTCTATATGGAGCTGAGGGACACCCTTCAATTACAGATCGTGCAACCTTCCTGTACTTGCCATACAGATACACAGGTTTTGGCCCAAAAATAAATACCCATGCGTCAATCTTGTATGGCCTATTCTTAATTGGGTGAGGATGTTACTTCTTCAATGATTCACATCCTTTGAAGGCAACCTATCATTCATGTTCTTGATGCTTAGAAGCTGCCGATCTAGTCAGATATTGTATTATTTCATTAATTCATTTATGTTTTTTAGATAAAATTTTTTTTATTGCATTTGGCATCAAAGAAAATAAATTATTCTCACCAAATTAAGAAAAGGCCATGAAAACTTATTTTGGGGGCAAAGCCCATGTATGTGTCTGGCATGTAGATAAAAGATTGCTCAAAGTGTCCCATATAATTGAAAAGTGTCACTCCTTGGCTTCAGAGAGAGAGAGAGAGAGAGAGAGAGAGAGTGTGTGTGTGTGTGTGTGTGTAGGAATGCCACCCAATATGAGAATTGCGCTTGAACACGACAGCAAGTATTTTGGGGCCCCCTATTCTGATTTTTGTAGGAAACAGGGCTGTTTTATTGTATGTAGTACTGATAGAGATTGAATATATTTATTAGCATGAATGTGTAGTGTGAGAAGGCAGAGAAGGAAAATCGAGTACTCAACCACTCTATTGTGGGAATGGTATGTAAATAAGAAAGAATAGTAGGAGATTCAACCTCGTATGGCCAATAAAAAATAATGGTTAGAATGATCTTTCCTCTTTGAATTAGATTAACTGGTGGCCACCTATTGACCTCTTGCCACCTATTGTTCTCTTAATATGCCAGTGCTTCTTGGGTAATCCAGTCCGCTGATACTGCCACTTTTCTTTACCATATTCTTTATTGCTTGTAGTCAGATTGCTGCACTGCATGCTGAGAGACTCAGCGAAATTCATGTTTCTTAAAAGTACAAATTAATTAGGCAATCCAATTATGTTCACCTTTTTTATAATAAACAGTTAAATTTTTTGAAGGAAAGAAATTTTAGGTACAAAGTGAAATTGGTAACATTTTTGTTTTATGTTTTTTTCCAGGTGAAGGTGCAGCCGTTTTACTCAGAGCAATAGAACCTATTTATGGAATCAACGACATGCGTGACAACAAGGCTGTAAATGCAAAAGTGAAAAAGAAATCCAGCTTCAATTTAAAAAAAGATCACAGATCTCTGTGCATTAGAGAAATTTGTAACGGCCCATCGAAATTGTGTATGGCGCTTGATATTGACAAAAAGTTGAACACAGAGGATTTAAGCATTTCGACAAATTTATGGGTCGAAAACAATTTAGATGTAGATAACAAAGACATAATCAATTGTTCCAGAATCGGTCTGAACTCCATTTATGGCGAATGGATGACAAAACCGTTAAGGTATTACATCAAAGACAATCTGTACATAAGTAAAAAGGCATCACCAGTTGAATTGGCTCAAATGTTGTGAAGAAACAACTTTTTTTAACCCACAAAAAAACATTCTTATAATCGTTTATTTCTGTGATCTTGTATTTTTATAAATTCGTCAGTATTAGTATTTATAAGAGTTTTGTTTACATTTCAATCTCCAAATATTTTAAATATTTGTAGCCTGTTGTCATAATTTTCTTCCATCATAAAATCATATAAAAACAATACAAACTTTTTTAGAGCTACTGAAGTTTAAATTGTCTACTTTTTGAAATTTCCTCCTCCCCTTGTAGTATAAACAAAATTTTAAATTGTGAGTTTTCCTCCCTTTCAGTCATCCATTTCAGGCATCTTGTCATTTTCCGCGTTGGATCTACTATTGGGTTGTCCGGAAAATAATGCAGGATTTTGGTATTAAACAAAAAAAAAGAAACTAGTTACTTTAAAGCAATGTTCTTTAATCAAAATAATTTCCCATACTCTCAATACATTTCTCCCAACGTGTTGGTAACTTATTAATTCCGTCTGAGTAGAATTCAGAATTTTTAGAATTGATAAAGTCAATAAATGCATTTTCCAGTTCCGTTTGATTTTTGAATATTATGTGTTGTAAGTAGTGGTCCAGGTGTCTAAAAAAATGGTAGTCAGTAGGCGAGAGGTCCGGAGAGTAGGGTGGGTGAGGCAAAGTTTCATAGCCAAGCTCCAATAATTTTTGTGACGTTACACGTGACACATGTGGTCGAACGTTGTCATGCAACAAAATGGGCCCTTTCCGATTGACCAAAGAGGGCTTCATTACTGCCAATTTCTGATGCATGGTATTAATTTGGTTACAGTATGATTCAGCATTGATGGTTTCGCCAGGATTTAAGAAGCTGTAGTGTATTAAACCAAATGAAGCCCACCATACCGTAACCATTACCTTTTTTTGATGAGTTGGGGGCTTTGGAAAATGTATTGGAGCTTCTCCTTTGTCGAGCCACTGTCCAGAACGTCTAGTGTTATCGTAGAGAATCCACTTTTCGTCACATGTAACAATTCTGGCCAGAAATGGGTCATTTTTGTTTCGACAAAGAAGTGATGCACAAACATCAAAGCGCTGATTTTTTTGGCGATCGTTTAATGAGTGTGGAACCCAATTTTCGAGTTTTTTCACTTTTCCAATCGCCTTGAGGTGGTCAGCGACGGTCGTTTTACTGACTTTGAGTTGCTCTGCAAGTTCTCGAACAGTTGTTTTGGGGTTTTCTTCCACCACTGATCGCAGAACATCATCATTAAGAGAGGAAGGCCTTCCACGACCTTCTTCATCTTCAAGGCTGAAATCTCCCTCCCGAAATTTTTTAAACCACCTTTGCACAGTGCACTCATTAACACAACCCTCGCCCCAGACTTGGTTAATGTTTCTAGCCGTTTGGGCTCCGCTTCGGCCGAGTTTAAACTCGTAAAAGAAAATCGTACGAAATTCTCGCTTTGACATTATAAGGATGACTGAATTATTTCCAAGTAGCGGAATGCTACAGAGGTAAACAAACAATATCATTTGGAAGAGGATTAATAAGTGTTGACATTCATACAAATGAGTAATCCTGTAAACGTAAACAGAATATTTTATATAGATTTTTTTTAATGAAAACTTAAAATCCTGCATTATTTTCCGGACAACCCGATATATTCAGACTAAACACTGAAGATATTGAGAGAAGGCAAAGTGAATTTGACAGAGCAACCCAGCGAGGATAATAGACCAAGATGATAGGTAAGGATCAAATTATAACATTTGAAGGCCTTGTTTGACATAACTAAACAAGGTGAGACATAATCTCCAAAATGGCTACAAAATTCATCTAGTTGAGAGGTGTGATGATAAATATTTTTGAATGTTAGCATAGTCGATTGTTAATCAGCATCTGTTTATCTAAAGATCATTAAGAATAGCTCTCTATCATAGATAGAGAATGAAAGACATAGGGAGAGAAAGAGAGACTTGTGAATATAAAGTGAACCACAGAAGAGATATTTAGATAAGAAACAAAAAGGTAGATGGATAGATAGATGATAAAGAGACAGACATAGAGAGAGAAAGAGAAACATGTGAATGATACAATGATGAGATAAAAAAGAGAAAGAGAGATCGATAGACAGTTGATAGAGAGAGAGGGAAAGAGACAGATGTAGAGAGAGAAAGAGAGACATGCGAAATGGGTAGAGAAGATATATACAGGGTGAATTGCTACTCGTGCTACAAACTTCTCCAGTAGATTCTTCACCCTAAAATGAACAAAAAAGTTCATATTGTCCATGGTCCGATTCTCAACCATTTCAGAGTAATTTCGCTTTTTATCGATTTTGAAAGATATCACGTCCTGGCGTCGGAAAATCGTGATATCTTTTAATCTAAACATTTCTCTGAAAATCTAATAGCACCGTTGAAATTCCCGTTAATTTTTCAATAAGAAGATGACGGTGGCAAAATGTTTGGGCTAATTTTTTGTGTTTTATTTCAGCCAGAACTACAAAAAGAGTGGAAAATTGTGTAAATCGGAAAGTGTATAAAGTAATCCAGAGTTTCTAATTTTAGTCTCAGAAGGCAGCAAATTTGAGGAAAACTACCTGATTTAATAACGCTTCCAACGCACTCGTCATTTTCTTATTTAGTGGTTGTGAGACCAAGATGTTGATGACAAAAAGAGAAAAAATGGTGGTTCAAGGATTGCTAATGTTTGAGAGTGACTTGCTACTCGTGCTACAAACTTCACCAGTAGATTCTTGACCCTAAAATGAACAAAAAAGTTCATATTGACCATGGTCCGATTCTCAACCATTTCAGAGTAATTTCGCTTTTTATCGATTTTGAAAGATATCACGTCCTGGCGTCGGAAAATCGTGATATCTTTTAATCTAAACATTTCTCTTAAAATCTATAAGCACCGTTGAAATCCCCGTTAATTTTTCAATAAGAAGATGAAGGTGGCAAAACGTTTGGGTCTTTCTTCCTTGACCTTCTAGCTGTTTGTAAACTTCTTAAGCATTACATACTAAATGGGCATTAAATTAAATTAAAAAATTTCAATGGAATTATGATTTTGATTCTCTCTAAAAATTAACGGGGATTTCAACGGTGCTTATAGATTTTAAGAGAAATGTTTAGATTAAAAGATATCACGATTTTCCGACGCCAGGACGTGATATCTTTCAAAATCGATAAAAAGCGAAATTACTCTGAAATGGTTGAGAATCGGACCATGGACAATATGAACTTTTTTGTTCATTTTAGGGTGAAGAATCTACTGGAGAAGTTTGTAGCACGAGTAGCAATTCACCCTGTATAGTTAGAAAAAAAGAGAAAGATAGATAGATGATAGAGAAAGAGAGAGACAGAGAAAGAGTGAGAATGAGACATTGTGAATGTGAAGAAGGCCAGAGAAGTGAGAGAGAGAGAGAGAGCACTCTCTCTTATTTTCTCCATCTATCTGTCAACCTATTATCATTCTCTCTTTCTCTTTTTTTTCTATCTCTTCTCTGGCTCTCTTTACATTCACTGTCTCTCTTTCTTATTCTATGTCTGTCTCATTCACACACTTTCTCTCCCTCTCTCGTTAAAGGGGAGCTTTTCGGCTTGTATAGCCATATGTCCCAGGATCCAGAAGTGGTGTGGAAGGATGGCAGGATATGTACATATCTCATGGGAGACCTATCCTAGCTACAATGCAGCATGTACTTTCTATAGATGAAATTTGGGACTACAGACTCCAGTCTTCTCAGACTGATTTTAAACTTGGCTTATCAGCGCGATACAAGAAAAAAAATAGAATACTTTATCTAACATTAGATTTTTCATTGAGTCATGAGAAGTGCTTCGAGTGTTCTTGGCAGTCCTAAGTTAGATGCTGATCACAAGACTGAGACAACTGTCTTTGTACTCCAAAAGTTAGAGATCAGGGGGTATCAAAAACCTACACCGTTTCAGTCAATTTTGGGCAGAATATAAATCAATCATCTCAATCACCATTCTCTCATCAATTTTTAAACACTACAGTAAGGCAATAGGATAGTCGATACAGCTCCATTCCAATACACAAATTGCATAAGGTTGTCAAGATGATAAACATTCTGCCTTTGATATTCTATACTGTCATGCAGCACACTCAAGTCATCTAGTGCTCAGGGTCTATGCCTTCGTAAACTGCCGCTTCATCCAAGGTTATAACCAACCTTGTCAGCAAGGTCTTCTGAGGTCTCACCATACAAGTTTTGCAACCTGATCCGCTCTTGACTGAGCCATGGTATAAAACTGGCCTGTACCAGAGATTGTGAGTCAGATACACAGTCTTAAAGAGTTGAGGTTCTATATTCAATGCAGTTCTGTTTCCAAAGTACTAAGTTCAAGTTGGCGATCCGAGTCGGTAGTCTACGTTCGGAGGTTTAGTCCCATCAAAAAGTTCGTCAGCAGGAAGTTCCAGCGATCTACCTCCTCCAAAATCTATCTTAGAAACTGGGCAACTGCTACTGTTTTAGAAGAAGAAGAAAAATAACTTTATTCTGGGTCTGGTGTCCCCTAAGAATAATTTACATGAAATAAACAAAGGAAGTTCCTTCTATGAAGTTAAAAGTAAAAAAAAAAAAAGATAGAAATCTTGGCACACTGTATACCAATAAGGCAGGACAGAAGAAAAAATTACGAGAATATTAAACAAAAATAACAAATGTTAACATGACGTCTCTGCTTGGAAGGAGAGGAGGTGATTATACATGTGGGATTTAAAGGAGGAAAAGGAGGCAGCGTGACGAATAGAAAGGGGAAGGGAGTTCCAGAGTTTAGGGGCTCGGATCAGAAAGGATCTTTCGAAGGTATGGGTTGTATGTTGCGGAAGGATAAGGTCGATGGGGATGATCAGGTCTTATGAGTGTGATGTGAGGAGTTGAATTGGAGGGATTGGATGATGTAAAGAGGACGACGAGTGTGGATGGACTGGAAAAGAAAGCAACCTAGGAAATACTGTGCACGGAAGGAGGGGAATAGCGAGGAACCCCGACACCCGGGTACACAAATCTTACGCAACAATTCATAATACGCTTCAATCGCGCATTCTCCCCCTCCGAGAGACCACCGTATGCCAAACAGCTATAATCGAAGAAGGGAAGATACAAGGAGTTTGCGAGTGGAGAAAGGTAAGAGAAGCCAGGACCGCCGAAACAGGCTGAGGGAAGCAATGGAATGGCTGAAATTTGGGAAATGTGAGAATGCCAGGAAAGGTTTTGGTCAGACTACTCCTAGGATTTTAACCGAAGAGCAGAAGGGGATGGGATGGTTATTTAGCATGAGAGGATGCTGGGGAGGGAATTGAGGAGTTGCCTGGACCCGATAATTATGGCGGTGGATTTGGACGGAGTGAGGACTAGGGAATTTTTATGGGCCCATTCGTTGATGAAATTCAGGTCTTTTTGGATCTTGAGAGTGGCCGAGTGAAGATCGGAAGGGTGGAAGGATGTGTATTTGGGAGTCATCAGCATATAGGTGATAGTTACAGGACTGGATGGAGTCAGGCAGATCACTGATATAAATGGAAAAAAGGATAGGAGAGATGCTAGAGCCTTGGGGCACCCCAGATTTTAGAGGAAGGAAGGAGGAGGTAAGGCCATTGGGAAGGGAGACAGCTTGGTGGCAATTGGTAAGGTAGGAGTTTTATAAAGATGTTTCAATAATACATTCTAGGGGAGCTTGTCACGGTGATATAGCCATATGTACCAGGTTCCAGGAGTGGTGTGGAAGGCTGGCAGGATATGCACACATCTCATGGGAGACTTACCCTTGTTACAATACAGGGAGTACTTTCTAAGAAGAATTTTAGGAGAGAAGACTCCAGGAGTGTTAGAACTTCACCAGAGACTTTTAAGGAAACGAGCAATGAACAGTCAATAACACGCTCAAGAAGTCATTGCCTGAGTAAAGTAGAGGCCCCCTGTGTAATCAGCCCAACTGCTTTCAAGACAACAGTATGACAGGCCTGAATCTTATTTAATAACACAACCATATAATAAAAATTTATTTAAAAAGGTAAATAATTTAATATTCACTTATATTATATAAAATATAAACATTTATTATATTAGTTTAATAAACGGATAACAATGCTAGGAAAATAAATTGTATTCCTAGCAGGTTTCAAAAGTTGAAAACCCACATCATTGTAGAAACATACACAGTGACAAGAATGACCATTCTCCCAAGTTTATATAATCTTTTCAGTCGTCTTTAATAGTACCGTGTACATACGAGTACTGCGAGACTAATTTCCACACATACGGTATAAAAAACTCCCCTGTAGAATCTTCTTCAATGTATCTGAACCTTAGTTCTGGAAATTTCTGAAATAGAGAGAAAAATATTTTGTAAATTTGCATTGAATAAATACGGCTACCAACAGACACCACATACTTGCAGTCTATGGGATGGCCATTTGGCCGACGCTTCGATAATTATCTTCAGAACTACATTTACATCATTACAGGGGTCATTTGTTTTTTCGAGCGTTGAAGTAAAATATTCCAACACCTTAAAAATGAAATTATTATTTTTGGTTATTACAAAAAGAACTTACAACCCATGACTTAAAAAAATAAACAATATAATAAAATACCTGATCAAGGTTATTGATGATATCATTAAATGCAGGATTGTTCCTGAAGGGCTCGAAAATACCCTTTTTATACAACAAAGTATATATCAAATTGGGATTAGAAGCCAATTGATTTGAGAGACAAGAATTTAGGACTTCCAAAATAATTCTAAGAGCTCTCTCTATGGGTAGCAACTAGAAAAGGTTTTATTAATTTTAATTTTATACCCAGCGATTTTTTTTTTTTTACCTCATGTTTGGTCCGGTTGTATGTTTTTGCCAGGACTTCAAACAGGCCGACAAGTCTTTGGCATACGTAAGGATGGAGGTTGGAAAAATGGGAAGACATATTGGAGAGAGCAGCAAGGCAGTTGGAATGAAGGTATTCGTCCTAAGCAAAATTTCACTCGTTTTAAAAAAGTTTAAAATTACAAATAATTAAAAACCGCTCACTCTCATTTTCAGTAAATTATATTGCACAGTCCTTGCTGTCACTAATATAGTTAAGCCTCCCAATGAAATTTCACCGAGATGGCGGTCTACAAACCAGGTTACATTTTTTGTCATCTGGAACATTGTTGCAATCTCATTTCTGTTCATAGAAAAAGTAAGAAAGCAATACACTTACAGTTGTATGGATTTTTTTATTGAATTCCCTATCTTCACTCAGAATCAGCAATATTATTAACGACATATAAACATGGTGGCCACTTGCATCCGAAGCTTTATAAATAGTTTGTAACATTGGCAGCATCTGTAAAAAAATAAATAAGAATCATCACTGATGCAAACTGATAGGAGCAATCGCATTGTATAAAAATACCCAAGATTCAATGTCATTTTGTGCCACCATAAGGGGTTTAAAACTACTGTTCCTTTCCAATAAATTATATAACAAAAGACTAGTTTCCTCTTTGTCCATAACTGAAAAAATTGTTTTACAAATATCTTCCAAACCATCTGAAAATAAAAGAAGAAGCTTATTACAGACAAAAAGCTGGAAATTATGAAAAGTAAAATAAATAAAAATGTGTATGAATTTCAGTAAACAAGTGGCCACCAAGCGAGAGACTACTACCAGAAAATACCATCAATACCGTCAGATTTTTGACGAACAACGACCCAACCAATGATTGTCAAATCACTTAGAAGAATATGAGTTAGAATACATTAATACAATTTTTTTTTACTCACCCGTTTATTTATAAAAGAAAAGAATCTTTTTTTGCTGATTCTATCAATGTTTAAACTTAAACATTAAAATGTAAATAACCAATTATTAACATAAAGAACGTTGTACAATTTAATCAATATAACGACGGAAAGTACAAGAGAGGAAATATGGGAGGTATATCAAAATATTCTTACCAGAAAGAGAATGGAGGTAAAGGCTGTACCTATTCACCTGCCAATCATCCTGGTGATTGATGAGCACGTTGAGTAATAGCAAAGCAGTTCTGGCCAAAGGTGCGTCTTCATTTTCATGAGGCATAAAATATCCAATAATGTCAGCTAAAACCCATTTAAAGCTTTATCATGTAGAGTTCAGTCATCAGTTCTTATTCTTTGTACATCACAAAAAATACCTGCTATGTCTAATATAATGCTTCCTCCTGACGAAGAGTATAATTTGTCAGGGTGTGGCATTTTATGTTGTTGAGTAAACCTCTTGAGTAATATTTTACTCAGCTCATCACCTCTTTTATGCTCAAAAATCATATCATAAACTTCGATAGTACATCCTCTCCTATAAAATTCTGTTGACAACAAAACCAACAGCATGTTCATACACTCAAGATGAAGTAGGTATGTTTTCTCCCTGAATGACAAGATAGTTAATAAAAAAAAAATTAATATAATGATTTAATTTCCATTTATGTACAGATGAAAAACAACTGAACATACCTTACTGGTAAATCTATAACAATGTGTAAAAGCACGTCAATCAATTCTGTAGTGTCCTCTTCCTGAGGAGAGGCTGAAAGATTTACAAAGAATTTTATTAACTTAAAATTATATTGTATGGTTTTAAATGATCAAAACCGCCTTTCAGTTTGTTACAGCCCAAAATTGCTGACAATAATACGCCTGTCACTCAGTGGAGACGGAGAGGGAAAAAATTATTAAAAAAATGAATATATATCTGTGGAACATAAATGAAGAAATAAATAAGCTTGGGCACCAGTTGTTCTATTTGTTAAAAATAGAACTACAAAAATAAAGAGAAACGAAGATGGATAATTAAAAATAATAATAATAAAACTCCCCAGCACTGGAAGAGAGAAAAACCAAAATTTAATTATCTCAAATTATCCTAAACCCCTGTATACCCCCCCACAAGGGTTTGCTTTGTGTTCAATAAAATTCTCACAAATCATAATAAATCAAATAACTTCATTTAGGAACTAACGAAAAAATTAGCATATTCTCTTAATAACTAATGAAATAAATGACTGTGGTAAACCAACAAAATATACAAAAAGAATTATAAAACCGCTTAAAAATTTAACAACAGAAAAAAGAATGTATAAAGCCTTGTCCAAGCCAAAAACAGAGAACATCTTCCAGTGGCCATGCTCGGTGTTCATTTGAGAGTTTTTTTTTAGAGCCTTCTTCCTTGTCCTGACAGTGGGAAAATTGACATTACTGTAGCCCCAAATCCCCTTCCAAGTATTTTTCTTGATTCTTTCCTCCTGGATGTCTTCAGCTTCACAGAAGGAGGAAAACCTGACGCACTGCCAACATTCTTTCTCCTTCCATTGTCTCAGGCCTCGCGGACTGTTCGCCTCCTGATCCACTTCAGATGGTGGGAAAATCGTTCTCCTTGTGGTAGCCACAAATCCCCTTCTGGGACCCACTCGAACCAAGGATGTAATCAGCTGCACACAAGGAGGAAAATCCGATGAAATGCCTACGCCAATTCCCAATCAATCTCCTCAAGTCTGCCGGACTCAACTTGTCTCCAGTTGTTGTCCTGACAACGTTCTTCTCTCATTCACTTCTTCTTTCCACCAACACTCTACAACTTTTTCTCTATTCTCTTTTTTTTAATATATATTTTATTTTTAGGTTAACATTTTCTTGTACGAAACCAACCCTCATTTATGTATAACCAACCTTGTTCTAACTTAACTAGGCTGCTTCTTTTCCCTGGCCTCTCTCTCTAGGATTACCCAATACATTCCAATGCTGGGGGGGGGAGTTAAACATTTATTTTACAAGTTGGAAAATCATAAGATAGTTGTGTTTTTATGTCCCAAAATAAATCCAAAATTTGTTATAATTGATACAGGTATAATAAGTTTTGGTCAAGCTAGAATGATACGTTTTTATGATATATTTTAAAAGTGAAGAAAAAAATTCACCTGATGCTCGCACTTGCGTCAGTTGTTTCAACATGAGTGTCTCGTGCATTTGAACAACATAATGTAAGAACACTCTTAGAATGAACAATGCATTGTAAGGCCGTAAGCAATCGACTTCACTGAAATATAATATTTATCAATTTTATCGATCACTTTCAATAATAATTAATAATTTAAAAAAACTTACTGTGAATCAAAATCAGCTTCCTCGTTGTAAGGTAATTTGTCAGCACTTTCTAAGAAAATCTGGAGTAAAACGCTAACGTTTTCGTTATTCTTGTTGGTCGTATTCCATTTTTTAGCAAGTTCATATGAATAATTGTACACATCTTTCCCATGATTTCTAAATGGAGGGAAAATAGCCAGTTTTAGAGATGTTCAATTAAATCATGACAAATGTTGAATAAGTATGAACTTACTCTAAGGTCACTCTAGGATTGTAGGAAAGGAGTTCATCCCAAAAAGGATCTGTTTTTGGTATCTGCGATTTAGAATCTATCATCATAAGCAAATACTTGTTTTTGCTCCATTCTGATTGACTACTCTGATAAGCACCCATTTCAATTTTTGCTAAACAGCCAAACTGTATCTAAAAATTAAATTAATAATTAAAAGACACCAATCATTGATATTAAGAATCTGGTTCTTGCCAGGTCATGAATGAAAGGATGGTGTGGATAGTGGAAAGAAACATGGACTATTTTTCAGAGAATCATGGATTGTTAGGCCTGGTTTCATTAAACATTTAACCCTAAAGTTCTAATGCCCTTAAGTACAGTATGATATATGAGTTGTATGTTGGCAGGTAGTAAGAATTGTTGTTAGGTCTTTTTAATCTACGGGGGTTCAAAATCATTCATCTGTTCAGAAATAGTCTAAGGTAATGTACAGTATCATCGTAGGGAAGAATGATGTTCATGTAGAGAGAATATAGTGTGATTTGTCAAAGTATATCTTAAATCTTCAACTTTTTGTACCACTCCTCCAGCAAAAAATGTAGGTTTCAAAGTTTATGTGGGGTCGTTCAATGGGTGATAGTTATATCATCTGTGAGATGTTACTATTGGAAATGTAGGATAATACCAGTATGAAGTAGGAAAAGGAGAGAGTGCGTAGTTCTTGCATGAAAATATCTGTTGGAAAGAGATTTTAGGATAAGATAGTAGGTTTCGGAATGGATGCCCTTGGGCTTTTAAATAGCAGTCATGCCATACTTTATCAAGTGCTCACACGACATCAAAAAATATTCAGGAACAGCATTCCTTAAACTCAAACAAGGAGGCGATGATGCCTACAACACAATAATGTAGTCAAAACCATTTTTTCAGTTCTTATATNGTTGGTCTGAAATTTGTATTGTGTATTTTATTCCATGGTATAGCTCAAGGATCAGGTATATATATTATGCAGGGTGGGCGACCAAGACCCGGGGGGTTAAATGCCTGGGTAGACTCGTACCCCATCCCTAAAAGGTCCAGGACTTGGTCGGCTCACATGTCCTGCATAAACCTCTTGCACTCGTTCACAAACCCCAAGATTTTGGACCATTTTATCTCGGGGAGTGATTTGGTGATGTCCTCTCCTTCAAAGATTTCAAATCTAGACCTAGCATACCTATCACACTCTGCGAGGGAGTGCCTTGCCGTTTCTTCTTTTATTTCGCAGAAGCAGCAAAAGGGATCTGGTAGGATACCCATTACAAAGAGGTGTCTTCTCAGTGGGCAGTGGCCCGTCAGAATACCTATCAGCCTCCTAATTCCCTTCCTTGAGATAGCCATTTCGATTCTGCTGGTTTGATCGCCTTAACAAACTTTCGATTGCCTGTGTCCGGGGGATAAATTCCACTCCATAAGGAATTGTTTCATGCCCCAGCTATTGATACTCTCCCTCGCTGTGCTCATAGAGTGAGGTAATACCGGTTGTGGCCCAACAAACGCAGTATTAGAACCTTCTTTGGCTAGGCCATCCGCCTTTTCATTGCCATGGTGTCCTTTGTGTGCTGGTATCCAAATAAGGGTCATCTTATTCTCAAACCTGAAAGAGATCCTATTGATAAGATCTATAGTTTCCTCCACCAGTCGTGACGTTGACAAATCTTTTTGTAATGCCCTAAGACTAGCCTGACTGTCAGAAAAGATTTTAATATCTTTTCCCTTAATTTTATTTTCCATAAGTGTTCTACAACACACATTGATGGCCCAGATTTCCGCCTGAAAAACGGAGGTGTTATTGCCAAGAGGGGAGGAGTTGCTGATTCCTAATTTTGGTATGTAGATTCCTGCACCACTCCCTCTTCCTTTGATAAGTGATCCATCGGTGTAGCAGTCTATGTTACGATGGTCATCATCCAGACTATAATTATAATCACAAGGGGTGACTACCTGAAAGTGCTTTTTCCCTGAAGGGGTTTTAATCTTTTTATCATGCCATACTTAATCAAGTGCTCACACGACATCAAAAAATATTCAGGCATAGCATTCCTTAAACTCAAACAAGGGGGCGATGATGCCTACAACACAATAATGTAGTCAAAACCATTTTTTCAGTTCTTCTTTTAATAAATTAAATATTGTTGAATTATAATTAATAATTATTGTTGTCAGGTAAATTTAAAATTAGAAAAGCAGTGAAGTTTTATTTATTAAAAATACTATCCTTGTGAGGTATTTTCTTGAGGTCTGTGAAGTGAATAAACCTGAGTTTAACTGTCTCCATTTATCATGGACCAGGATGATTAAACTATTTTTTGATTTGTAGTAAAAAGCAAAATACAATGACTTTGTAAATGAGTCCAGTCCTTCAGGGGCTATCAACAGCTAGACTTTCACTTTCTAAATCCAAACCATCTCACACTCACAAATCACTCAGTACTCAATATTCCTCTCACACTACTCATTCATGCTAATAAATACATTCAGACTCAATATACACAAAATGAGATACTTATCAGTACTAGAAACAAAGATAAAAAATCAGACACTTGTATTTTGTTGTTTATTTCAAACTATACGTATTTTTGTCATTATATTAATTACAACATACTTATTTCATGATTTTTAATAAAAAAATCTTTAATTCTGATGATTTGAAAAAAATTGACCAAAACGCCAGAAAATCATTTAGTGATTAAATAAATTGTCAGCTAAATTTTAATTACATGTTGTAATTAAAGTAACAATAAAAGTACATACATATAGTTTGAAATAAACAACAAAATACGAGTCTCTTTTTTTCCAAGTATGTTTACAATAAAACAGACCGGTTTTTTCCAAAAAATAAAACAGGGGAGCCAAATTGTTTTGCATACAAGCCTTTATGACACATGTAACCGTCTTCAGCGGTGTTAAAGCACCTTTTTTTTTCAAAAATTGAAAATTTGGAATTATTTTACGTTATACAAATTAATAACATTTTAAGTTTGTTGTAATAGCACACAGGCCTCGCCTCTGGAGAAGGCGAGAAGTTGAATGAGTCCGCAGCAAGTGAAGGACCAAAATGATCGTAAACGACCAAACTATAATTTCATTATTTAGTTGTTACTGGTCATTCTGGTCTGTCTTTATCAGACAGTTTACCCACACCCGCCCAGTGAGGATAGGCAGACCAAAATGACTTGTTATCGCGAATACCACTGAAGGAAATGTCACTATTTCATTATCATTACATTAAATATTGTTTATTCGATGAGGGACATTAATGTTTCAGAATTTTTAATGTCTTCTTAATGGTAATCTCTATACAATATTATCAGTATTCTTTTAAATTATTACTTACAATTGTAATTGTCCAATGATCTTTGAAAAAACAAGAACGTTACTAATGATTTAGTATGATACTAATGAAAATGTTTTTGTTTTTTTAATAGTTTGTTCTAATATTTATAAATAACGAAAATGATTCAATCACTACTCTTTTCTAATGCCATGGTTACATCCAAGACAGGTGATATAAATGCATTACATACATACACATGTAATTGTGAGTCACTCTTTGCAGTCTACCAGCAATTCCAGCTTTTGTAATTTACAATAAGTTACTGGCAAGCCTTGAGAATTACCCACCTCGAGTGTTGGCAGAACAGGGTCAGACGTCTGTGTTATTTGTCCAGCCGCCAAGGTTGGGCTCCAGGTGCTATCAACAGCTAGATCATTGTAGCACCTAGCACATGCAGTTCTTAGATCCAAACCCATTCACTCTGTCACTCACTTTTTTAAAAATTAATATTTGTAGCCTATACATATTTGTACATATTACAAATGTGATGACAGTATGTTTCTTTTTCACACCAGAGGGCATATGCCATGAGAAGCCAGCCAATGCTAGCACTCAGTGTGAGGGATTAAGGGGCAACGAGGTCTTGAGGCCATCATCGATTAAAGGCGACGTGGCAGGGTAGTAGGGTTAGGATGGATCAAGAAGATGGCGTGAAACTTTTAGAATCGGGAAAGGATCAGTTCACTGATAAAAGGAATGCTGTGCTTGCTGTGGATAGTGAGGTTACTGTCAATGGAGGAATATCAAGTACCCCATCGATCTAAATTATAATTATAGTTAACTTATATACATATTATAAATGTGTTAAAGTGTGATTGAGGAATATCTAGGGGAGGCCTAATGTCTGACTTCAGGCCACTAAAACACCAAATGGGTGAAGTCACAGACTCAGTTCTGTACATACATGTACACAAATGTATATCAAATGACCGTATAGATTAAATGATCAATAGACGTATAGATCAAAATGATCAGTAACGACCAAATAATGAAATTATAATTTGGTTGTTTATGATCAGTTTGGTCTGCCTGTTGGCTGTTCTGGTCTGTCAGATGCATTTCAACTTCTCGCATTCTCCAGGCCTGTGAGGCATGTGTGTTATTACAACAAACTTAAAGTGTTATTTGTACAATGTAAAATAATTGAAAATTTGCCAAGTTGGGACAAAAAAAGGAGAGTTGATAACCACTGAAGATGGTAACACAAACTGAAATCCAATAATTGAATATTACAAGTAAAAATTCACACAATACGTACACACGTTTAAATTATTTACATTATTACTTACAGAATATTTTCATTTTTATATACTATTGAAAATTGTATTGAAATCTGTTATCTCTATTATCTGCTTTGGGCTGGATTGGCAGAGAAGCTCTCACTTATCAAGAGCACTGTCAATAGGTGACCCTAAGAGGATCTGACTCATAGATGACAGATCATCATCATCATCCGAATAAGAATAAGCCACGTGAGGTTAACATACAGACATTTACTTTTAGAATAGGCATGCAGAGAAAAGTTGTTCGATGTGTCCCAGTTGATTGAAGGGTTCCATTCCTTGGCTCCACATAGAGAACTTGTAGGAATGCCACCTAATGGAATTGTGCTTGAGCAAGGCAGCAAGTATTTGGCTTGTCTGTCCAATTTTTAGAGAAAACAGGGCTGTTTTATTGTATATATTACTGATAGATATACAATAATAAATACTGAATGTATTTATTTGCGTGAATGTGTAGTGTACTATTATACCATATAGACTCTCAGTTAGATAGATAGTAGATTCTACATTCAAAATGGAATCAAAAAGTCCTAATTAACTATGGTCCGAATCTCAACAGTTTCGGAGTTATTTTACTTTTAATGATTTTTAAAAATTTCAAATAAACAATAACTCCACAACTGAAAGGTTTTGGACAAATCTGTTGATACCATTAAAAGGATGTTAAATTTCCAATAAGATGTGAACAATATTAAACTTGTAAATGTTAGTGAAATAAGCACTTTAGTAGCGAGATCTTTGAAAAAAAAATTTTTTTTTAAAGTTGAAAAACTTACTATGGTGATTCTAAACTATTTCCAAACCTAGAGACCATTAAACTTCAAAAAACGTACTCCATTTAATATCCTTTTTTTTTAATTTTCCACCTTACCAATCCTTCAACCACGTTTTTTTTCTTTTCCTTGATTAATTCCTTATCTTTGAAAAAAGTCATTAAAAAGCAATTGCACCACTAAAAAGGATATTAAATGGAGTACATTTTTTGAAATTTCCTGGTCTCTAGGTTTGGAAATAGTTTAGAATCACCATAGTAAGTTTTTCAACTCTTGAAAAAAAAATATATTTTTCAAAATACCCGCTACTAAAATGCTTATTTCAATAACGTTTACAAGTTTAATATTGATCACATCTTATTGGAAATTTAACGTACTTTTTAATTGTCTCAACGGATTTGTCCAAAACCTTTCAGTTTTGGAATTATCATTGAATTGAAGCACTCCGAAACTGATGAGACTCAGTCCATAATAAATTAGGACTTTTTGGTTCTGTTTTGAATGTAGAATCTACTGGCAAAGTTTGTAACACGAGTAGCTGAACACCCTGTATACACACTGATGGACAAAATTAATGCACCATCCTTAAATTTTAATGCATTTAGGTTTATTCGTATTTTACATACCAAAAATAGATTTGATTGTAAAAATAAGACATTTAAAAAGAAAATGTTTATTAACTCATTCTTAAAAAAATTGAGTAAAGAAAAAATGTGAACAAAATTTTTTTTGTCCCCTTTAACACATATTATTTCCACCTCTGGCAGGAACACATCTATTAACACCTTTGTATTCCTTGGAAAAAGATTTCTGGTAAAATCCTGAGGAATTCATTCCGATTCATCAAGAACATCCGTTTCCAACTCTTCTAAGGTGGTAGGACCTGGGTTTTGCGATCATACTCATCGCTTAAGTTGACCCCAAATGTGTTCAATTGGGTTTAAATCTGGACTTCGAGCTGGCCACAACAAACACATTTCCAATCTCATTCAGGTAGTCATCCACAATTCAAGCTCTATGGGGCCTGACATTATCCTGCATTAGCAAGAATCTCTCACCAATGTGGGGGCAAATGTACTACATGTTTTTTTATTATGTCTTGTAAGTACCTCTGTAAAATTAGAGATCTTCCTCACACAACAACCAATTCAGTGCAAGCGTCCAAGGAAATGCCACCCCAGAACATCAATGACTCACCGTGGAATGCCAATTGTGGAACCATGCAGCATAGGGCGTACCTTTCTCCCGAGCGTCTCCATTTAAAATTGCCCATCTGAAGATTTCGGACCAACTCTGACCTTCTGTAAAGTGAACTCGTCCCCAATCTTTCAATGTCCAATTCACATGTTCCCTTGCGCCTAGCCATTTTCTGAGCTGTGAAAAGAAGAGGTCCACGAGCGGGTGCTGGGCCTTAAGGTTATTTTCATTGAGCCTTCTTCTTACAGTCCTGGAGGAAATCGACTTGTCTTATCAGATTTCTTATCTCATTTCACATAATGCTGCAGTTTTGTAGAGCATGATGACAGATGAATCTATCTTCTCTCTCGTCTGTACACCTAGGTCGACCCTGTCCTAGACTTCTATTGCAAAACCCTGTTTCTCTGAAGCGTCAAAGAACCCTTCCTATTATAGAGTGATTTACACTCATTCTCCTCGTTCCTTATCCTTAAGTATCCTTTCACTAAAAATATTAAACCCTGATACTATCATACCAACTCAAATGCTTGACTGGAGCAATTAAAAAGGTTTAAGAATAAGAATAATATCAAATGATATCAATGAAGAAAAAAGATTAACTGAAAGCGATCTTTATATGTAGCAGAATAATAGCTACTTTTTGTGCAAATGGGAATAATCAGTACAAAAGTAAATAAAGCATTATTTACTATTTATTTTGACTAAAATAGCCCCTAATTTCTTATAACTAATGTACAAAAACAATGGATTTAATTTTAAACTAAGTAAATTGAGTGGTGCTTTAAATTTGTCCATCAGTGTATACAAAAAAATACAAAAAATAACCCATTTATGTTTAGTGGTCTAATTGACCATATTAAACATTTCAATTAATCAATCTTTTTATGTAAGGTCTTGATTGAGATGAGGAGTTGGTGTCAGAGTGGATCGAAGTCAACCAAGACCTTACAAAAAAGGAATAAGTAATTCAAATAATTAATATGATCAATTAAACCACTAAACTTAAATGGATTAATATATAATAAGTAAAGAAGTAATTACTTAACTAACAGCTCCCCGCGGCCACTTCATAAGTCCCTGAGAATCGAATCCTGATTACACGACATTTGAAAAATGGCAAAAAAAAGGAAAAGTCAGACAGTTGTAGGTTGAGATGGGGAGTTGGTGTCCGAGTGGATCGAAGTCACAACAGCTCACGTTGTTAGAGCAGCGGCGAATTGAACCGAAGGTCGTGGGTTCAAATCCCGCTCATGACACTAATTTTTCATCTCAACCAAGACCTTACATAAAATAACTCCGTTTCCTTCAAGAATCGGAACAGGGTAACCAAATTATTGCTGATATACTCAAACACAATTTCCATATCGGGTGGCATTCCTACACGCCCTTTATACAGAGCCAAGGAGTGACACCTTTCAATTAAGGGCGACACTTGAACAACCTTCCTCCAAAAGTGACCGTGTGTCAACCACGCATTGCCTATCCTTAATCGGATCAGGATGAAACTTCTTCTACATAAAAATATTATTATTTTATACAAAAATAAATTCAGTTCTGCAATAATACAGGCAATTACTTTTCGGTTTAATTATTATGGTTTATTTATACTGATGCCAAGAATTACAGGTATTCAAAGATTTACTTACTCTATTATTTCAGGGATATGAAGAAATTAAACCGTTATATTTTTCAAAAAGTTTACTTTTTCGAACAACCGTGCTTTTTATTTTAGTTTATTTATTTTTTAATGGAACGTGACAGCTAATTGTCATCTGTTTTTGCACTAGTTGCTGGACCTTATGGTTATTATTTTCGACAGTCTTTATTTATTTTTTCTTAAAAGTTATAAAAAAATAAAAACCGTTATTAATTTTTACAGTTCGTCTCCCAGATTTTTTTAAATTTTTATTTATTTATTTTTTTGAGAAAAAATTTCTTAATTGAGACGAATTATCACTTACGCATAGATTTGAGAGGAGACAGTCTGTTGTCGCCTCGTCCGACGTTTAAGTGCCGTGGCCCTAAAACGGCTCACTGACGACTAAAAGGACATCATAAAAATGCCCCCTTTTACTCAAATGCCAATCTTCTAGAATTTGAACATACACAAATTATTGACGATCGGGAGGAACTCGTTACCTTCTCCGCTAGAATACAAAAATTGACGTTTGAGCCAGACTCGGACGTCAAACGTTTCACAAACGTCACCACCAGAGGCAAAGGACGTCTTTCTCAAACAACTGTTATTTCTCTTGTTCCACAGTCTGGCAACGTTTTTTTTTCCATCTCAATTTCACATTTTTTTGTATGTATTATGTGCATATCCAGTCTTTTATACAGGGTGTACGGCTACTCGTGTTAAGAACTTGAAAAATAACTATGGTCCGAATCTCAACAGTTTCGGAGTTATTTCACGTTTTCTGATTTTTTAAGATTTCACGACCGTGCTTCAATTAAACAATGATAATTCCAAAACTAAAAGGTTTTGAACAAATCCGTTGAGACCATTGAAAAGTACGTTAAATTTCCAATAAGATGTGATCGATATTAAACTTGTAAACGTTAGTGAAATAAGCATTTTAGTAACGAGAACTTTGAAAAAAAAATTTTTCAAGAGTTGAAAACTTACTATGGTGATTCTAAAATATTTCCAAACCCAGAGACCAGCAAATTTAAGAAAAAGTACTTCATTTAATATCCTTTTTAATGGTGCAATTGCTTTTTTCATTACTTTTTTCCAAGATGAAGAAATTGATCAAGGTTCAACCGTGGTTGAAGGATTGCTAAGGTGGAAAATAAAGAAAAAGATATTAAATGGAGTACGTTTTCCAAAATTTGCTGGTCTCTAGGTTTGGAAATAGTTTTGGCTCCACATAGAGAACTTGTAGGAATGCCACCTAATAGAATTGTGCTTGAGCAAGGCAGCAAGTATTTGGTTTGTCTGTCCAATTTTTAGAGAAAGCAGCTGTTTTATTGTATATATTACTGATAGATATACCATTTTGTGTATACGGCTGAATGTATTATTATACCATATAGACGCTTTGATTGCTTAGATATAAATAGTATGGCAGGGCGTTGATGGCCGCAATGGTTTAGGCGTTGACAAGGCGCTCATCACTGTACGGTAAAGTTCCAGGTTCGAATCCAGCGGCCCTGCATTCAAACCTGACATACTTACAGTGACCAGACATACTTTTCAAAAAACACCGGCACACTGAGGGTTTATATGAAATCTGCTGTTGCGAACCCTCATTAAAAAAAAGGGGGGGGAAGTAAGTGTGTGTGTATCTATATTAAAAACTGCATGTGTTGGGGGCTGAAATGACATAGTTGTTAATATCCTATGGAGTCCAACTTTGGTGGTAGGACAGATAAAAACACTCAAGTATCAAGAGCACTGTCCAAGGAGGGCCTCAGAGGTTCTGTCTCTTAGAACAGGGTGTTCAGCTACTCGTGTTACAAACTTTGCCAGTAGATTGTACATTCAAAATGAAACCAAAAAGTCCTAATTAGCTATGGTCCCAATCTCAACAACTTCAGAGTTATTCCCCTTTTTCTGATTTTTTTAAGATTTCACGGCCTTGCTTCAAATAAACAGTGGTGACTCCAAAACTAAAAGGTTTTGGACAAATTTGTCGATACCATTGAAAACTACGTTAAATGTCAAATAAGATGTGATAAATACTAGACTTGTAAACGTAGGTGAAATAAGCGGTTTAGTAGCCAGAACTTTGAAAAATAGTTTGTTTTTTTAGTTGAAAAACTTACTATGGTGTTTCTAAACTACTATTTACAAACATAGGGACACCAAATTTCAGAAAATATACTCCATTTAACATCCTTTTTATTGGTGTAATTTCTTTTTTAGTTACTTTTTCAAGTATAAAGAAATTGATCAAGGAAAAGAAAAAAAAAACGTGGTTGAAGGTGGAAATTAACAAAACAAACAAAAAAACTTAAGGAAATTTTGAATGGGTTACCACTAAAAAGGATATTAAATGGAGTACGTTTTCTGAAATTGGCTAGTCTCTAGGTTTGGAAATAGTTTAGAAACACCTTAGTGTTTTTCAACTTTGAAAAAAAAAATTGAATGTTGATCACATCTTATTGGAAATTTAACGTACTTTTCAATTGTCCGAACGGATTTGTTGAAAACCTTTTAGTTTAGGAATTATCATTGTTTATTTGAAGCAAGGTTGTGAAATCTCAAAAAATCAGAAAATGTAAAATAACCCACTTGCAGAGGTGTGGATGTCAAAGTCCTGATAAGCCAGGAGAAAATTCTGTGACATAATCCAAGAAGGGCTAAAAATTGCAGAAGAATGGTGTAAAACTTCTGGCTTAAGAATCAACCCTAATAAAACAACTAGTCTTTTTACACGGAAAAGAAAATTGAATCGCATGAAGCAGATAACACTCAATAATACTGTGATAGAAATTTTAAAAAAACACAGGCCAAATATCTGGGTGTCACACTAGATAAAACACTGTCATTTAAGGAACATATCAGCCAAGAAGGCGATACGAGCTTTAATGGTGTGCAGAAGAATAGTGGGAAAAAACTGGGGATGCAGACCGGAAAACCTGTTTAGGATGTACACCATGAAGGTAAGACCTATTCTTACATACAGAGCCATAGCCCGAGCCAATAAAGCAGAACAAATAACAAAACGAAGAAAACTCACAAAAATACAGAGATTTGCATGCATCTGCAGGAAGGATGAGAACATATCCAACAGGTGGTATGGAGAAGATATTGGGAATAATCCCCCTATACCACATGATAATGAGGACAGCACAGAAAACCATTATTAAAGAGAAACCTCTAACAGGAATAAAACTATAATGGAGAGATTACAACAACATAATGAAAGACTACCCAATATTCATGGCTTCAAGAGACGACATGGACAGGATGTTTGAATTTTATCAAAACTTACGAATAAACGTAGGTAACAAAAAAGAATGGGAGAGAAAAACACTTTTAGGAACAGCACCATCTATTGGTACACAGGCAGATATAGAACACAAGAAGTTACAACGGCAACAGTATTCAGTCCTGGAAATAAATACTCGAAACCCAAGGGAAAATTCACCAGTATCATCCAAAAACCTCAATGCCACAATGAGTTTGTCATATGGAGAAACAGTTGGTCTCATCGCTGTATCTTTTTTTTGTAATCAGTGGAGTGGCCAATTGAAGCAGATGAAAGTGTTTCTTTATCCATCCTCTAGAAATTGTGTAAGCATTTTGGTTAAATGTCTAATCCCTTTATAAGTTTGTGGGGGACTGTTTATTTCTCTTTTGGAACCATTTCTTTTTTCTTTTTTTTTTTACACTTTTGTAATTTTCTTTTCATGAACAACAATCCAATAAAATAAAAACTTAATTGAGGTTATGGGATGGGAAAAAGAATTTGTTTGTTTTTGTTTTTTTAATGGAATACTTTGCAAAAATATAAATTCCACAATGCTCACAGATTTTGTATTGGTTTACAGAGATGGATATGGTAACAACTTATATTGCCAGGCTGTAGTTATATTTTGTTCGCAGTCTAACATAATGCGACATACTGACAAAAAATTAAGCAGCCAAAATTATACTAATTAGGATAAAGTGGGAGTCAGTGAAAGAAGAACAGAAAGAAAACAAAAATTAATAAAATAAAAATTGATATTTAGATTCACATCAAATTCCAAACCAAATATACACAAAATAATGATAAGAAGAAATCAGAAAAAAATGTACAGGTACAATTTTCAGTCATATACTTAATATTAAAAAAAAGAAGAAAACAATTAGATAACATAAAATTGTAGCACCCTCACTACATTTGTCAAAAATACTGGAATATCCAATGGAAATTTTAAGTTTAAATAAATCATATTGTGTACCTATTTGTTAACTTAAGCTATTCAATAAAATCACTCAAATATATCACTTCATTAATTTATATTACAACCGCTGCCAAATAACTTGTACAAAAATAAATTATGATATAAATTGAATTTAATTAGACTATGCAATCACACAAATAATATGGTGGTACAAAATTATTAATACCTTTCTTTTTTTAATGTAAATGTCAGAAACTTTATTTACAATAGATCACATAACTGTTGACTTCATGGCATATTTAAGCCTTTTGACTATCAATAAATTACATTTTTAAACAATTTAAATTACAAGCCATTAGTACCACGTGTTATGTATTTACAGTTATTGATTTTGGTTTAATTAATCATTTTTCCATGACAAATTGTTGAGATCTCATCCCATATCTCTTGATATAATATATACAAATTCTGCCCAGTATGAAAATATATTTTAAAAATAATCAAATTTTTGTTGATATAGTTATGAATAGAAATTTTGAATCATAAAATTTCTAAATTGTTCATCAATATTCAGAATACATCAGTTTTTTCTCCATTGATATAACATCCAATCAAATTAAAAAATAGGCATCATATTTATACATAGTTTAAACTATAATGATAAGCTTTGGGACCGATATCTGTTAAATCATAATTATAAATTAACTATTTTTAGCAAGAGTGACACGAAGATTTATATTTTTTAAAGTTATTTATTAAAATTATGGCAGTTAAGCGTTTCTTAAAATATGGTTACAAATTATTTGTAGATATATGTATCGTACATGGATATTGCAATATGAATTACATAAATAATACAACACAATTCATAGTTAACCTACAAAGGCAGACTGGGATCACTGTTTTCAATGAAACTATTTTTGGTGAAGGTCGGAAAATATTAGATATATGTCTGAGCATTCTTGTCAATGGGGGAGCCAGAAAAAGTATATAATTTAATTTTTTTTTAAACATGGTTTTCTACCTTTTTTGTCCAAGTATAAATGAACAAATGAATGAAAAGGTACTTTATTTGATGAATATAAGAATAATATTTTGCAATATAATTATAATATAAAAAAGCACACTATGGTTATGGTTTACAACTATCTGCCAGAGAAGGAGCAATAAGTATTCAACAAAACAAATAAAATTTAGTATTTTATACAGAATTGAAGTTTACTTCAGGGATCATGTTATTAACTTTGTTTATTAATTATTTATATTATTATATTTATTTTATTATACAATGGCTTAACTTAATTGGATTAGCTAATCACTTAGTACTTTTGAGAAATACAGATTTACGCTCAATTAGTGTCTCAACAGACGTTTGACAACAAACAAAACGATGATCTGACTACAAGCAATAAATAATATGGTTAAAAAAGCGTCAAAGGTCTAGGTCGCCTGAGAAGCTGTTGTGCTTCAAGAACATGATTGGTAAGTAGCTCTGAGGAATCTAAACCACAGAAGAAGAATTCTAACCTGACTGAGGAAGTAGTCATACTCGGTTGAATCACGGACGCTTACTTTTTGGGCCAAAGTATGTTCCTGGCATGAAAGGTTCAATGTGATTGAAAGGTGTGATTCCTTAGCTCCATAGTATAGTACGAATGCCGCCCATTATAAGAATTGTGCTCCACCACAACACAAGCAAATCTTTGGGTCCCCTATTCCCCATTTCTGGAGGAAACTGGGGAAATATATATAGCTATTTTGTTTATCGCAGGTAATCCTACTTTTGTATATATGCTAACTTGGGTGATAGATGCTTTAACTGTTTCGTAAGACTTATATGTGTGAATGTGCATTTAGTACAAAAAATATTGATGGTGTAATATTACGTACCTCATCAATTAGACTAGGTATTGTAAGTATAGTTGTTTATAGCGTGATAAAGGGTGATGGAGCAATATCTAGTACTCCATCACTCTACTTGAGCAAAAAGTATTTAAATCAGAATAATTAAGAATGAGTGGTAGAGTGAGTGTGTTTAGGTTACAACAGAAGGAGCTGAAATGACCATGACGGTGGTACAAGTTAGACCAAGGTCTGACCCCGGGTCACCAAAACACAGAAGTAGATGAACTTAAATGTCTTGTTCTGAATCCATATAAAATTGGACATTATGAAAAAAAATGAAATGTGTCTTCTCTAGCATGTTTGTTGGAACATAGGTTGGAGTGCTTATCTTTTGTAGGGTTGTAATTAAGGGGAACAATTCATATATAATTTTTAAAAATAGATGAGCAAAAGGAAAAGAGGCAATTTTAATATTGTCAGACATATTAAAGAAGTTATAATTAGAAACAAGTTCTTTATATTGTACGGATTTGGAGGATCTCCTACGATTGTCAGCATGACAGTTATGAACATAACATAAAAACAAAAGTTATTGATATAAAAATCCGCATTTGAGGTCTTTAGATTGGATGTTAAAACTAACCTAAATGATTTTTTCAAGAAAACATTTTTTCCCTACTTTTCTTGGTAGTCTTTATTATCCTACATACATAAAAAAAATAAATGAATATATAATAACCTCAAACATGCCCAACAAAGGCAGAAAACAGGGCTTCCATCTGGGGTGGTGGATCGGTGTGCTCCTGCTAGTTGGGACATCAAGAGTACCCCTAGAATATGTGGATTTTTCCCGTGGTGTATTTGTTGTAAATGGTTTTTGTTCTACACGGTTTTATCCACATCTATATGGTACACAATGCAAGATGTAAACACATGATATATTTATAAATGGTGTAAGACTGGGGAGCTACCAGGTCCGTACTGATTGTTTCCAGTTGAAGTGTTGGCTTCCCTTACACGATAAAGTTAATGCACGGCAGGAAACCATATTTAAAATAAAAAAATTAAATTACTAAAAACAAAATTTCTCAGCTTGTAGGTTCATTGGGAAGAACACTTGGTCTCGAATTTTATAACTTTCCACCTAATATCACCAAGAAAAGTTTAACTGAATTCGGTGATTGCACGACCATAGCTTTCGAATATTAATTAAAAAATTAAAATAAACCAACTTGAAAAATGATTTGTCCCAAAGCGTGTGGTTTATACTATTATCTATCTTTACACTATTGTCTATATATTACCCATCATACTTTAACTAAACATACAACACAATATTTACATACACACTAGGATAATTTTTAGTATTATGTTCTATTATTATCCTATGTATAGCAATGTACATAGTATATTTAAATTCTGTCATATTGGTCATGAGTTGACAATAAAATATATTTAAACAATCTCATATTCATAAAATTATTTTTTGTTTTAAAAATCCTTCAAGCAGTTCAAAATTTGTCTTTTTTGACACTATAATATGTGTGCACATATGTTACACACTTTTTTTTAATTAATTCACTAAATCCTTGTTCATTGATGTCATTCCCTTGTAAATCTAACCCAAATACAAACATTGAGTTAGAACTGGAATAAAATATTTACGTATTTATTAACATTTAATAGTATATCTACTATTGGTATGCCATAGTTTTTAAAAATTATGGCAGTTACTACATTTTTAAAATTTTATTAACACTAAGGAATTTCTCATAGGCACAGAGTTTGGAGACTGTTGTAACAAAAATGACACAATTTTCTTTCCTATTACCTATTTTTAGCATATTAAGTTATAAATACATCTTGAATTTAGCAATTGGTTTCATTAAATTGTAAGTGTATTTACATTTTGCCAAAGTACAATACGAAATATTAGTTTTATATATTTATTTACTATTTAAGAAGAATTCTTAAGCAAAGAAGTCAGCTAGGCAGGGTTAAGTCAGGCAGTACCATATTTAGAATATGAGGATTGAGGAAACCCAAACCTAGTAGTAATGGAGGATTAAAAAATAACTGAAACCTTGCATAGACTGGGTTGTGTTACCTAGATCTATTGATTCAACCTGGGTATTTATCTAACCAGTAGGCTCTCAAGGTTTCAAAGAAAAAAAATTATATTCTGTTCCCTTCACAAAATGAAGAAAATACCTGAGGGATTAACGATAAGTCGTTAATAACATAGTTTATCTCTCTTGACAGTCGAATAAATTGTTTGCTGTCAGTCAAGTTATCAAATCGTTCAAATTAAAATATTTTTCAGTCTCCAGACTCTGATGAATTATTTGCAAACTGATCTATACACGGTTCTGTACATCAATTTGAATTATACAATTTTCTGATTATACTTTAAGCATTTTTGTACATCTTTCTTTTTCAGTTTGCTTATAGTCCATTATGAATTTTTTCACCACTTTTATCTCTGTGGCAATAACGAGGTTCTGAGGTTCGTACTTATGTGCAGTTTGGAGATCTACCATTGCCAATTCAAAATTCTTCAAATATTTATTCGCCTGTGCTCTTCTGAACAGAGCTTTGGTATTTTTTCTGTCAATCATCAATGCCTATAAAATCAGTGTTTAATATGAAGTTGTCCGGTGGTTAAATTAAATTTCCAATTAAAACATAAAAACTTACGTCATTGCAGAAAGAGATAACCTTTTTGTGATCGTTTAATTTTAAGTATACTGCTGCTGAATTGAGCATGCAAACTGTTTTTAGATCTATGAAAGACTCCTTTGTTTTACAGTGATCATCTTGATTCACAGCCCTGAAAATGCACAAAAAATGTAAAAACGAAAGTGAAGTACTCTCATTATCTGAACTATTCATTGCAGGGGAGATTGGAAACAGGTGTTAAAAAAATGCTTAAATATCTATTAAAAAAATTAACACACTTTATTATTTTTGCATTACACAAAACATTAAACCTATTAGAATACATATCTACTGTCAGTTTTTTTAACATTTAACATTATTTGACCCTAACCATCCCTAAACATTATTTAACGTTTTCTTAAGTGATTTCATATCTCTCTCTCTCTCTATCTCTCTTTCTCTCTCTTCCTCTCTCTCTCTCTCTCTCTCTCTCTCTCACACACACACACACACACTCTATCTATCTCTTTTGTAAGATCGAGTTTAATTTAATTAGAGAGCTACCATTGCCAATTCAAAATTCTTCAAATATTTATTCTTAACTAAGAAGACATAATTATTTAAAGAATTTTACTTTTGATTTGTACCAATTATTTGTGAAGATGATGTACACCATAACGTGATATAATTTCAATGTATCTCATTAAATGTAAGAAAGGTCCTTTTATGAGTAAAAATAAAATGATAAAATCAAAATCTGCTTTTTCTCTCTTACACACTCCCTCATTCACTCACTCTCTTTCTCTCTCTATTTCTCTCTGTCTCTATTTCTCTCTATCTCCCTTCCTCCCCATATAATGTTTATTTTGTTTCCTTTAACATTCTCATTTCTAAATTTTTTACAATTTGGATTACTGGAATGTTTGGAGTACCGAAGTTCAGATTAGGGAAAGAGCATTACATATTACTTTGTGTATTTATTGGTTGGTATGTCTTTTTACATTTTCACAGTCAATACGATATCAAATTAAAACATCCCAAATCTATATTGCATGTTAAAATGTCCGGTGTTTAGCGATCAGTGGTTCAATATTTGGTTGAAATAGCTCACTATTTCAACTCATATTGCATGTTAATAATGCCAATAACGTCTATATAATAAACGAAGTCTTTAAACATCAAATTACATGTTAATTACTTGGCAAACATTTAAATTCCCATGCATTTGAACACTAACATCCAACTAAATACCAAATTAAAATTTATAAAATGTGTTACTTACCAATCAATGTATCGAAGAGCCTTTTTGTATTTTCTACATGCATGCATGAAACTCTCCTCTTTGAAATATTTATTCCCAGAATCTTTAATTTTACATATAACATTTTCCATACTTCCATTCTAAAAAATAATATCCCATTCTTTTTTAAACAACAGGTATGACAAAGAGAGGTAATACAATTACATACAACTAATTAAGGTTTTCAGTTGAGATAAAAAAGTCAATGGCACGAGCGGGATTCGAATCCACGATCTTTGGCTTGATACGCTGCTGCTCTACCACTTGAGCTATTGTGAGAAAGTGTATCAAGTGGTACAGCAGCGGTGTATCAAGCCGAAGATCGTGGGTTCGAATCCCGCTCGTGCCATTGACTTTTTTATCTCAACTGAAAACCTTAATTAATTGGCTAATATTAATTGGTCAAGCGGACCACGAAACTAATGAATTGAATATTACATACAACATTGAAAGATTTGTTGAAGACAAGAATAATTTCAGGCAAACCAAATCAACCAAAACCAATCATTAGTTCATTTTACATTTACATTTATATTTTTGATCTGTTACCTGTAATCTGTCATGGTAAACTTTCCATGATATCCAAAATCTAAGATAATCTATTAATGCAATTTTTTTAAATTAACTTACATTAATACATTTAAATTTATTTATAATTTGGACGCTATTGAACATTTTGGACTGCCTATCTTCATTTTAGTGTTTAGTCTGAAGATGACAGACCAACCCAGTGAGGATAGGCAGTCCAAACGATCGATAACGACCAACATGTTTAACAACCAACAGACCACACAGAGAAATCTCACAAATTTGTTAAAACAGAAATTCTATTTACCTCTGCAAACTTCTCTGGTTGTATCCAGTCTTCAGGGAACGGTGGGTAAACATCTTCAGTCCCATCACGTTCATTAACTCCCCAGTTATCATTATTAAGTTCACCACAGTCACTTATTACGCAGGGCTGTACATTATAAACCAAATTGAAATGCTCATTAGAAGAAATGTTTTAAGTCCCTTGGCATAAATAATTACTGATTACAGATTTATATAAGCTCAAACTTCACATGCATGTACATACACATGTGTACAGTGTTGAGCCTCACATCCTGCCGGTTTGGTAATTTACAATAAATTACGTGGCCTCAAGAATTACCCACCCTGGGTGTTGGCAGTATGGGGTACGACTTCGGTTTTTCCATCCAGCCACCGAGGTTGAGCCCTAGAGGCTATTAACAGCTAGGTAATTTCAGCCCCCAATACAATCAGTTCCTAAATCCAACCTCATCACACTTAAATACATTTACATACCATTAACTCAGGGTGGAGGAGTGAGTACTCAATACTCTTCCATCACCCTTTATACCTACTATACAACTAACTGAGAGACTGGGGTATTCAATATTCTGATATTGCCCTTCTCACACTACACACTTATGCCAATAAATACATTCACTTTCGTCACACACACACTAGGGGCACAAAACTATATACAATAAAACAACCCAGTTTCCTCCGAGAATCTGAACAGGGGACAAAAATACTCACATACCTATGCCCTCTCTATATGGAACCAAAGAATTAAATCCATCACTTAGGTGAAACACATCAAGCAACTTTTCTCTGCATGCCGGACACATAGGCAGGCTTTGGCCCAAAAGTAAGTGTCCCACTCAAACTCACATAGCCTATTCCTAATCGGGTGAGTATGACCCCCTCTGAAAGGACGGATTCTAGTTTTATAAGTAATAAATTTTACTTTCAAAAACTTGGGAAATAATAAAAAATAATCATTGAAATAATGTGTGAAATTTGAAACGGTAGACGTTATATCAACTAATCATTGGTATTTTATTTCAGGTCAAAGAATAAAATATAATCAATTTAATGACATAATTTGAAAGAATTTGAATATCAAATAGCATTCAATTTGAATCGTAAACTTACCATTCACTTCATACAGGAACATAATTAAGAGTCGTTTAATGCACTATTGTTCACATTCACAAGAGTCATATTATTTACATAATTTCCATTAGTGAACTCAATAAAAATCTATTTCTGACTCAAAAATAATTTGTGTAATAATACACCAAAGGTTATGAATACACCTGATTTAAAAAAAAATTAACTTACCACTTGTGGAACTTCATTGACAGTCGAAGTTTTACCAACTTCCTTCACTACTCCCAAACCGAAACGAACACGTCCAAAGACTACATTATTGCCATCCAAGTGCGGACATGGTACTGTTGTTATAAAAAATTGTGAGCTGTTTGTGTTCGGTTTTCCGCAATTAGCCATACTGACCATGCCATCATGTTCATGCTAAAAATTTAATAAATACTATAATGTCTAGGGAATAAACAAAACATCAGTTTGCGATAAATTATATTAGTGGCAAGCTAATAAAAATAGTACCACTGGGACTAACTACTTACCTTAGTTAAGTACTCACTCATATTACCTTATCCTGAAATCCTATCTAACCAACCACTGTATCAGAGTAAGGTTGCAGCAACAACAGATACAAACCGGCTTCCCATGAGGGAGTATTCTCGGTCCTATCCTTTATATAATTTATACACTGCTGATCTACCTATACACCTAATACTACCACCTACTACCATTACCGTAAGTGGATGAAACCGTAATTTTGCACTCTATCTCGAATCCAAGCTACTACCAAAATCCAAGTACACTGCTTATTGAAGACTGATGCAAAAGTGGAGGACAAGAATGAATGAAGAAAAATGTACTTAGTGTACGTTCACATTGAGAACACAGTTTTGTCCTCCAATGTACATCATCAACAAAGATCAAGACCAAAATATTGGTTAATATGATCAATAACGATGATATTAATACTCGTATTAATAATATTATTGGATCGTAAGGGTACTGTTTAAAGCAATTTGTCTCTATGAACTCTGAGGGTTTAACTGTTTTTTTCCAGAGTTCATCAAGGATGTTATTTTAATACACCTCATTCAGACTACAATAAACAGCCAGAAAACTAAAAAAAAAAAAAAATACAAAAACACAACATACACTGAATATAGATAATTAAATCAACTAAAATTAAAGAATGCATTAAAATGGAATATTTATTTTAGCTGTACTTGCCTTAATGGTGAAATTTTCATCTTCAAATGTCAAACCGTAAATGGATTCTCCACCACAACCATTTTCACTTATATCCCCACCTTGAATCATGAATGCAGGCATAGCTGGAAAAAAATCAAACCATCCAAATTGATTTTTCCAATTATCAAAAATTAAACAACACCCTAACGATTTTCATATTATTTGGAATTATTTATTGAGTTAATTTGTTGGCAAATTTCTTTCAATGAAATTAAGTCAAAGAATCACTTTAATTTCGTACAATGAAATTAAGCCAAAGCAATTACCTTTGTGAAATTTGGTACCCTTGTAGTGGAGAGGCTTCCCTAAAATGCCAATCCCCTTTTCCCCTGTACAGAGACATCTGAAGTTTTCAACTGTTTTCGGAACAATATCCTTGAATAGTTCAATAACAACTCTTCCAACTGAAATAGATAGAAAGTGAGACGTTAAAATACACCAAAAAAAAAGGTAACATATTAATAAAATAAAATCAGAAAATAATACATCAACCATTAATCTTAACGCTAAATCAACCTTGATATAAAGCAATTTTACTTTTCTCTTTTTGTAATATTCAAGCTAAATATCATATCAATATTCAACTATTTTTTATAATAATTTTCATCGGTACAAACTATCAACTACCCCTCTTTGTTTATACAAGGAAATACAACCAGCATTTGTACATCATATTTTTTTTAAATATAATTTGCATAAAGCAAACTGACACTATGTAATAATTCTATATAAATGGTAATAGTTCTTTTCACCTTGGTAATAACTTATTTAACGCTTAGCGAGTGTGTTCAATTGGCTATCATTGCCAGCTTGAATTGATTTTCAAAACTTTGCACAACATTTTAAGTGATATATGCTAAAATTTTGTTTATTGATGTTTATATGTTACTATAGTGAAAAGTTTGAAAAAAGTTGAAAAACGTAAGCCTGAACAGCATCAGAAAAAATATACAACATGGACAATTATGATAAGTCAATGTTAGCCAATATTAAATACAAAATCAACTAAAACTCAAAACTCACTTAACTTATGAACCTGTAAATATAACTAATTTTTAATTAAAAAACAAAAAATTCATTTTGATAAAATTGATGTTTGCTTTATTCCTATATTTTTGTTGCAAAAAACAAGAAATTTATTTTTTACCTTGGGAGAGTATATCGGTTGGGTTGGTTTAGGCTAGGTTTAGTAAGGTTATGTTAACTTAGGTGGGGTTAGGTAATTTAATGCTATGATTAGGGACGGACTAGGCTAGGCTGGGAGTTATGTTAACTTAGGTAGGGTTAGGTAATTTAAGGTTATGGTTAGGGACGGGCTAGGTTCAGTAGAATTAGGATTACATTGGAGATTTCCTCTTGGAGGCTGCAGGGGATGTTTAGTTGTGCCCAATCATTTTCGTTTTTTTCAGTACATACAGATATATTTTGCATAGGGGACCACAGTAATCGAGGGGTTAGAGCATCCAACTGCCATGCTAGCAGTTCTATCCATTTATTCCTGAGCAATGATGAAGACCTTGTTACCACACCCCTTAGAAGAATTATGTGCTTTATTAAAGAACTTACGTTTTCCAAGAAAACCATTAACAGAGTCAAACACATTGTATGAAAGTTTAAGTGCAAAACTCAGCACTCAAAATTAAACATTCAAATTCTTCAGAGTCTACCAAGTATTGGCCTATTCACGTAGGAGTACCTCTACAGACTACTGTCACACAAATATAACTTTTCAACAAAAAACAAACTGACAGTCTACAAAACAATACTAAAACCAATCCAGAACTGTGGGGTCCTGCTAGCTAAACCTTCCAACATCCAAAGAAGACAGTCCTTACAATACAGTCCTCAGAATCATAATCAATGCTCTTTACTACTTCTTCCACCCTTCACAAGACCACAAAATCCCCTCTGGTGCAAAAAATAATCCCCAAAACATTTTCCACTTTCCACAATAAACTCTTCTCTCACCCCAATCGAGTTGCCCAATCCTAATCCAATAGAAACCACCCTTATAATCCCACCAGTCAACTGGAGAGGAGATGGCCTTGAGACTTACTAAACTAGGATTAGACCTTGCATATAGTTGGGAAAAGCATTCCCGGGTGCCAGATTCTATCAAAATACTGTGCTACGTCTAGGAATGCACCCAAGCAATACACTAGGAGATAGTGTCAACAACTCTGAAACCTAGTCGGATCGTTGGAGGACAAATTTGTGAGAAGGAATGATTTTATGAGTATCCAGAATGGGTATTAAGCGCTTTACAAGGAATCTTTCAAGGATTTTGGGTGTTGAAAGAAGAAGTCTGATAGGTCTATACGAGGATATGTGGTTGGCAGGTTTGTGAGCTAAAGTAAATAATGCTGCTTTAATTATACGTTTTTTAATTATTTAAAAAGTAATATAAGAGTTGCTATTCTGCTCAAACGAAAATATTAAATTCCATTTCTAAATTGATGCATTCATGATTAATTCTAGCTCGATAGAAAAGGAATTTTACTATTTATTTATTTTATTCCATCGTTATTCTCATTTTTTAGATAATTTGTAATAGAATTTTTCATCGCCTAGAAATAAGTGGAAATGTACGATAAGCAATTATCCAATCTGTTGATAGTGAACAAATATCACACTACATCCTTTAAGAATGCAGTTATGGCAGTCCATGGAGAATCAATTATGAACATGGCTGTAAAAAGGAAACTTCATGCTAGTAGGATTTTATGGGAATGTGGGTGGGGTGTCAATAAATTGAGAATACATGCTGGGCTGCTTGGGCATTTCAATGTCAGGACATTCACTATTATAATCTGATGTTTCTGATATAGTAACTAGTAGAGATTCGTGCTTTTCTTTTTTTCAGAAAGAAACAATGTGGGCTGTTTCTTAAAAAATATAGCAAGGAATTAAAGTTCATTTACAAATTACACATAAGGCCTAAAGCGGAGATGGTGGTTAAGGGACTCAGAGAAGTATATATTATAAATAAGATTTACTTTTATTTAAACTAACGTTAAGCCTTAAATAAAAAGATATATCAAATGTCTAATTTTAAACATTAATGCTTCTTTAAAATATACATTTTTTAAAATTATTTACAAAGTACATTGCTATTCTGTTCAAAAGAAAATATTAAATTCAACTTCTAAAGTGATGCATTCGTGTTTAAATTTAGTTCGATAACGATAGAATGTTATTTTTAATTTAATTTTATTCCATCGTTATTCTCATTCCTAAAGCTCCCAACCAGATATTCTCATACAGACCCATCAGCCTTTTTACCACATCCAAAATCCTTGCAAGATTCTTTTTAAAGCGGTTAATACCCATTCTGGATACTCATAAAATCATTCCTTCTCACAAATTAGGCTTTTGTCCTCATCATTCCACGATCTGACTAGGTTTCAGAGTTGTTGACACTATCTCCTCTGCTCTAGAGATAGAATATTGCTTGGGTACATTCCTAGATGTAGCACAGTATTTTGATAGGGTCTGGCACCCAGGTATATTCCATCGTTATTCTCATTCCTAAAGCTCCCAACCAGATAATCTCATACAGACCCATCAGCCTTTTTACAACATCCAAAATCCTTGCAAGATTCTTTTTCAAGCGGTTAACACCAATTCTAGACACACATAAAAGTATTCCTTCTCACCAATTCTGCTTCCATCCACATCATTCTACCGAGATACCGATTTCCATTCAAGTTAAATACTTAGGACTATACCTAGACAGCAGACGTACATGGACCTCACAAGACATAAGAGGATAACAACTTAACGAAGACTTCGAAATCTGTCTTATGAAGATTTTAGTGGGGCAACTTTGGACATACCAGGTGGGGTTCTGCCAATCCATTCAACATCCATTGATCAAATCCAATCAGGGAGGATGCAAGAATGTACTGAAAACCAAATATTCGTAGTCCTTTGTTAAGTACACCAGTATTTTTCAAGCTGGTATCCACTCAATTGAGAGACGTAATTAAATTTGATGTTAGAGAGCCAAGCTCAAACATCATTAGCTCAAGGATATTTGCTGAATTGCAAAACTAAACAAAGTTACACTTGGGGGTACAGGGTCCCTGGAGAATAAACAGGAGAAGAGGAAAACGAAGAAACAGATGCCCTTGCAAGAAAAGTGGCTGCTACACTGCAGGTAGGCCCTGAACTCATTTGTGGTACAATGTACACTATCAATGAGCATCTTAGAAAGAAGACATGGTGAAAATGAAGAAACTGGAATTCACTCACTGGTAACAAACAATCCAAAAACCTTGTGAGATTTGGAAAGAAAGAGATAAAAGAATGCATCAAAGTAAGCAGAAAGAGACTCCAAATAAACAGGATTCCTAATGGGGCATTGCGGACTGAATGGTCAGTCATTAGAGGAAATGCTCAAAACATGCAGATTTTGCAAGAGAGCATAGAGCAAAGCATAACAAAAATACTATGGTGCTACACTTATCCACAGGAGGAAATGCTTTGGGATATACAATGTAACCGTAGAAGAAATAAAACCACTAAAACTGGACCTAATCAAATCATAATCAATAATCAAATTCCTCGATCAATGTCAAGTTGTAGGCATAGAATAATTCTAATAGGAAGCAGAATGTCAGATTAACCCAACTTTTACATCTACACCATTCTTCTCTACTTACAATATGTACAGTCCTTACAGGTGACAAATTAGGTGGAAGCAAGTTCCGACAGAATCTAAATAAATAGGTCATAATTGTCATAGTTGCTACAATTTGTGTGAATCTGAATTTCAGCAAGTCTCCCAACAGAATTGTAAGCCAATGATGGTTGTTATTCCATCTAAAGTTAGTTATTAAAGTTATTTGTTCAACGACTCACAGAACAACAACCACATCAATGTTAAAGTTATTACTTGTGGTTTGGTCGTTTTCGATCATTGTGTATGTTAGATGCATTTGGCTTCTCGCCATCTTCAGTGGTGGTCTGTTTGACACAGTGAGGATAGGCAGTCCAAAAAGATCACACAACAAATGAACTAATGGTTCCTCACACTACAGAGGTAAAAAAGGTTGTGAATCAGACAAGAATCATTCTGGCTGGAAGGAGGATGGGATTCTGTTTGGGTTTCAGAGATGCCTCAGTCCATACCAAGAAGTTGAGGGCGAAATTAGAAAAAGCGAATCTCCCATTCATAAAGGGCAAGATGCAGAATTATTAAGATTTTCAGACGTACCAGCTACCCGAAGCTGGCACAGAGGATCATCGACAGGTTATCATGAAAGAGTACTCCAATTTAGAAATGTGTTGAAATTGGTAAATCGGTTAGAGGTGAGGACATGTATGTTGTACAGAGAAGTTTACCTTGAAAGAAACGATAACCTCATGGGACTTCTGATCATGATGAAAGCTTGTAACACAGCTTCTGCCTATTCAGTAGACACTGCATTCATAACTTGTTTCCCCATATAGACGAGCTTCCTCACTGATTGGTTGTATCATGACATCATAATCATCATAATAACAGATATTCTAGGTACTTCAATAGTTCTGTAGAATTTGTTGGAACTCGCATTCACTATAACTGCAGCATAACAGATATCATAGGTACTTTGATAGTTCTGTAGAATTTGTTAGAACTTGCATCCACTATAACTATAGCTTAAATCAGCAATGGATTTTACTGCTTCTTTACAAAAATCTTTCTTTTGTTTCAGAGGAGTACCCATGTCTGATAGTGTATCTGATATGTCTGTGCTTCTTTGCAGAGTCTGAAGCTGATTCTTGCCAGTTGGCCATTCTTCTGCGGTGACCTGTCAAGAAATCTTTTTCAAATCCTGAAACTTTTCTTCCTGTATCCTCTTAAACAGTCTAAAATTGTGAAAAAGTCGTATAACTGCAATAATGCAGGAGCAACTAGCCAAACTGATCTGCTGGTTTGTTAAGGAATGAACAAAAAAACTTCGGGATCAAGTAGTATACACACGTTTACTTTCTAAAATAAGCAGGAAGTTTGAAAAAAGCAGGAAAATGGTTGACAGTTCGGTCGCTTTATGATAATTTTGATCTGCCTATGCATGTTGTTTTGATCTGTAGGAGCTAAATTATTATTAAAAACTGAAATTGGCGAGAAGCCGAAACACGTCTGACAGACTAAAACGTTCGGAAACGATCAACTACAGGGGAATCAAAACGCAGATTTCATAATTTAAGGGTTTAAAGTGCAGCGGATTAAACGGACATAGCATTATCCGGACTCCAGTGCATTTTTTTCTCCCAATCTTGCTAGATATTGAATTTGTAGCGGGTCTTTTCCGATTATCAGCTTATCCTCGTTTTGGTTTGTCAGACGCGTTTCGGCATTTAACGGTATTCAGTGGTGGGTTTGTTTATTATCGGATTATCCATTAAGTTACTTTCATCTCTTACCACCTTATCTTCTATCCTTAAAGTTCCTTTAATAGCTCGTTTTCCTATCCCACGGTATAATGGGTCAGATTATAATTCAGATTAGATTGGAGATTATTCAATTCAAAAATAGCTGCAAGAAAATATCTCGGTTTCCCAAAAACAACAGCGAGGCTTCCTCGACATCAGCGTTGTGAAAGCTCAAAATCCTGTTTCAACACTTGCTTTTACTCTGTCAAATGCAACACCCTACCCCATCATGACGAGAGTCTCGATCATGGCCGCTCCTTACAACTCACCTAAAAATTAGGGTTAGGAAGGACCTTGATTTAGTAGTTCAGGAGGTAAAAGATGGATTACTGCCAGCTTTTGAAAGCAATTGCCTTGAAAAGACAAGGAATAACAGAACAAAAACCAGGTGGAACAAGAACCTGAAAAAATGAGAGGAAGGCGCTTCAATAAAACCAAGCTCTACCAAACTAGGGGCACATATAAACAAGCATTTACCCAGTACAATAAGGAAATAAAAAAGTCTGTCAGGAGGTTGGAAAAGCCACTGAGCTAGAATCCATGGAGTATTTACCAAGTACGATACTGGAGGACATTAGGTTTCATTCCAAGACTGGACGGAACTTTTGCAGAGTCAACAGAAGAAACTGTCCATTTTAATTTTAATTGGTAAACATTTTCCAGGCTCAATGATAATACCCGGAGAGGCACAGTAAACTAGTTAGTAGAATTGGTGATACAGGCCCTCCAAAGAGGACTAGGAAGCGGCTATCATAGCCAAGCCTGAACAAATCAGGTGGACGATTAAGGGGTTTCTCCCATATAAATCCCGAGGTGTGGATGGGTTATACTCTATACTGAAAGGTCAGGAAGTGTTAATGCCATCTCTGGTAAGAATATTTAAAAGGCCTGGAGATAAATAACCACTAAATGAAAGAACGTGCGGGTGGTCTCTCTCTGAACCCACGCCAGGGACACAAAACTATCATTACTGTATACAATAAAACAACCCTGTTTCCTACAAAAATCGGAACTGGAGACCCAGATATTCATTGCCGTGCTCAAGCACGATTCTTATATCTTATATACACGCTCTTTATACAGAGTCAAGGAGTTGCACCTTCCAATTAGGTGGGAATCATCGAGCAACCTTTCTCTAGATGCCAGACACATACGCGGGCTTTGGCCTAAAAATAAGTGTCCGTGTCAACCTGGCCTATTCTTCATCGGACGAGGATGACTCCTCTTCTACGAGTCAGATCTTCCGAGGGCCACCCATCGACAGTGCTCTTGATACGTGAAAGCTTCTCTGCCGATCCGGCCCACGACACTACTATTTAATCAGGTTTTTTATTGTATTTTTAGCAGCAGAGTGCTGGTTCGCAATGGTTGAGTCTGGTGGTTGGGATCTCCCGGCCTTAGCCGCCTCGTCTGCCTTTCTTTTCATTATCCTCCAGACCAATGTTTCTGGGTACCCAGAAAACAACACCGTTTGCTGAGACGCTCCGGTTCGTCGTTATGCACATCCAACAAGAGCACGATTTATTTTATTATGTTATGCTATTTATTCACAATGCCCATTGATTCCATTGATAGTAAAACCTTTCTCCTTGGCATCTGCGGGGTGATGAATCTGCACTGTAGTTACCGATCATCAGTTTTGGACTAATGATCCATAATGACCAAATTACAATAAAACTTATGTCAACTTATAGTAGAATGATTGAAAATTCTCTGACGAATTTCCACCTTAACGTAAAAGAAAACGTTACTAATTTAATTATTATATTTAACATAGAAGTCTTGGGGCACGGCGGTGAGCACATATCACTGTTCCGGTACCTCAGGGCAAGAGATTTTTAAATGTAAATAGTGTTTGTGTGTGTTTCTGTTTTCTGTCTATGTTGTGTTTATGTTAGTTTAATGGAGGAATATAATTTATTAGCGTGAAAGGAAGGGGGTCGCTTAATCCCGCCCGAGGAATATCGAGTACTCTGGGGTGAGTGTGTGGCGACATAGACAAGCAGGGAGTCAGCAACAGATCGAGCCGCTCAAATGACTGCAGGTTGAAAAATACGTGTGAAAGTCCAAAAAAAGAAGTAAAACCCGGCGATGACCTCTTCTGTTTGTCGGCCCCTAAACTTCTCACATTATTATTATATTTAATATAATTATATTATAAGCAAGTTATAAAGTGAATAACACACTTTCTTTCAAACAAACTCAAAGACATGCCATCTTCATTTTATTCATGTCCCAAGGTTAATTTCAACTTTTGAACAAGCAATAAAGCTATTTAAATTGCAATCGGCCAATTGGTCTAACCAGAAACAATTAATTTTACGAGAATCACGCTGAAGTGTTGCACAAGGAAAAACAAAAAAGAGAAATCAATTTAAACATTGGTGAAGGATGAATCGAGTTAGTAACTGAAATTTAAATCATATATTTTACAAGACTGAGAAGGAAAATAAATGCGTTTTTTTAATTAAAAATCAATAAAGGTTAAATGCAAGAATTAATAATATATTTTTTAATAATTTGAACTGCCTGTTTTAAACAAACTTTATTTAAATTTTAAATCATACGTTAAAACACTATTTAGGCGCTTTTTTTTAAAAAATGAAATGAGTAATTAAAAAGATCATGAAAACCCTGCTTAACGAATGTGGCCATTTGAACTGTGTGCTTAGTGCTTTGATCATCATGCTTTATTTTCTTGTAAAACGTAAAAAAAAAAAAATGATTGTGCTAACCAGAAAAGCATACCATGGATAAATGTAAGCCACAATCCACTCGCTAGTAAAGGTATGTTTCCGTTAAATACTTCCAAGGGGAGGCTACTTGACGGGAGATCACGATTTCAATGAAACGTTTTTGGGTGATACTAGATCTCAAAATACTAGATACTTGTCCGAACGTCTTGCCAATGGGCTCTAGGAGACGAGGAAAAACATGATTACATAATCTTCTTTAAAATATAGTTTTCTGCCTTTGTCGCGAATGCATGCAGTTATTATACAGGGTGTTCTCGGCTACTTGTGTTACAAACTCTGTCAGTAGATTCTACATTCAAAATGGAACCAAAAAGTACTAAATTAACTATGGTCCGAATCTCAACAGTTTCGGAGTTATGCCACTTTTTTCTGATTTTTTAAGGATTTCACGACCTTGCTTCAAATAAACAATGATAACTCCAAAACTAAAAGGTTTTGGACAAATTTGTTGATACCATTGAAAACTGTGTTAAATTTCCAATAAGATGTGATCAATACTAAAGTTGTAAACGTTGGTGAAATTACCGTTTTAGTAGCCAGAACTTTGAATCATAATTTTTTTTTCCAAATTGAAAAACTGACTATGGTGTTTCTAAACTACTATTTGCAAACCTAGCTTTGTTTAACTAACCATCTCTCATGATTTTTATTAGTTTATTTTTGAAGCCTTCCACAGCGATTGTGTATTTTTATTGCCGGACTCTTCGTAATTTTATCTCGATTCTTTTTATTGGCGCATATTTATATATGACGTTTCTAATAATTAAGATATCTCTCTACTATTTTGTTAATTTTACATAAAATCTTAGTGTTATCTCAAATTTTTTCGTTTTTTTTTTCGATCCACCAAAACTTCTGACCGAATTGGTTTTTACTCCGGCTTCTGTTACCTATACGAGATTTTTTTCTGTCTTTCTTTCTTACTTTGTATACAATTTTTTCATATTCGACACTTTTAAACAGAGATTTCTTATTTTGTTTGTTTCGACAACCGTTCTCTTCGTCCTTATTCTGAGGATCCTTTTTTGCATGTCTTTTTACGGAATTCTTCTGTTATATCACTCTCATAGGTATGATATTTTAATGATTTTTTCCGCAAATAGTTCAATTTGACACCTAATCTTTTGATTTATTACATTTTTTTGTCCTCTAATTCTTAGTTTAAAGTTGTAGAGGGTTCAGAGCCCTGTTCAATTTTCCTAAGTTGGTTTTTGGGGTCTTCCTTTGCAGGTTTCCCCGTTTTTTTCTTTTGTTTATCCATATGATTCCTACGAGTATGAGGGATCTAAAGGTCCGCACCCCTCTCTCCGGTGTAAGGTTGATGAATCAAGGGGGTCACCTGGTACCCTCGATGTTCTATTATTGGTACAGTTTCCTCTGTACCATCCTTGCATCGGCAGGGGTCATATAACACCTTAAACTGGGGTTGGATTGGGATTGAGGTAGGAAGCGAGGTAAGTGTGGGGTTTAGACATTGACAAGTCCGGCTCCTTGTCCTTGTCCCCCTTTCCGTCTGTTTGATTAACAGGGTAAACCCGCATAAGCTTCGTAAAGGTGGAAAGACAGAGTTGAGTATCAGAGGCTATTATAGAGGTATAGTTCCCATTCGTACCATTCCAACCAGGTATTTTCTTTCATCTCTCAGTTCTTGATTTTCATGATACCAGACTACAATTCTGTCAACTTCACCACTCTTCTGTTACCTAACTTGTTTTTACGTCATTTTCACAGCTTTTCATGTTTATCTTATAATATTTTCATTTTTACATCTTTTTTTTTTTTTTTTGGTTATACATACTATATTCTATCTTTCGTTTTATTTTATATTTTAAACTACGAATCTCACTTCAAAAAGAGTTTTAGTGTAATTACTTGACTTATCAGAACTTTTAATATTTTAATTACCTAAAGTTTCTACAATCCAACTGTGA